GCTGCCATTTAGAAAACTACTCCAGCTGTGCTTTAACATGTATTTGAGTTGACACTCACTCCTGCAAAATAAAAGCAGTCCTCACACCTTGCCCACCTTTCTCTCTGCACCTCTCTCAGATGTTCACAGTAAGCAGCAGTGAAACAAGCCAGTGTTATCTGTGTGCTTTGGCTTCCGAGTCAGTGGGGTCAGAGATGCAGCTGCTGAGGTGGCTGAGGCCCCTTCCTGCAGCCACAGGCACTAGAGGCAGCAGGGATGAGTGCAGAGGCTGGGGACGGAGCCAGGCAGTGACACCACCAGTATGTCACTGGCAGGCTTCCACTCTGAGCAGCCCACTGTGCATCAATGCAGTATAAAAAGGCATTTGGCAAGCCTTGCATCATGGCATCTCCCTCCTTAATGTCATCATTAATTCTGTAATAAGCACATCCCGTTTCAAATAGGGAACAATAAAGAAGGGCAAAATTTTGAGGCAACAATGCAGAGAAGCCTCAAGAGCTGTGGTTCCAGAGGACAGACCTTGCTGACAACACTCCAGTGCTTTCAATAGGATTACCACGATGCACTGAAAATCAGAGAAATGGGAGTAGTAGTGAAAAAGGAATATAAATCTCAACACAATCTGATCCAGTACCATGTGGTGTCAGAAGCAAATCAAGTAATCCTGAAAGTCCTAGAAGTTTGTCTAAGAATAAAACTGCAGGTCAGTCTTTCACAGAATTCCATTATAAGCCATGGTGTTGCAGGAGACATGTACACGGCCAGTTTTAAGAAACAGAAAATTTAAGTGAATTTAAACTGTGTGCAAAGAACCTACTAAACTATTATTGGAATGACATGCATGTAAATTAAAATATGCAATCTCAAAAAGAGAATGTTTGGAAACAAAGGAACTCAGATTGCATTTTTCTGAAGTAACTGCTCAAATAATACAAAGGGGTCCAGATAACACCATTCAGAGGATATCTGTGAAAGCATGTTAGAAAGGTGCTTCTCTTCACCATTTGTCTCTGGATATCTCAAAATCTTTCTCTCTAGTCAGCTTCTAAAAGGTTCAAATTGTTTATCTGACTTCCACATGCACAGTACATGAATTTATTTTATTGCTTACCCTCTGATATGCTGATGCCCAGCAGCTTCTCAAACATGTACCATAACTCCCATAAAGTTGTAACACTTATTGCAACACCAAGAATTATGAAGGAAAAAAAATACAGCTCTGTCAGCACAAACCAATCTTTTTGGTGGATGATAAGAATTCCTCAGTAATAACCTTGATAAAAAGTTCTATTTTTCTTCTCATATGAATAGCGTCTCAGTAATTATCCATTCCTATATGCTTCTTGGATTCTTTACATAATCAAAAGTTGTAAGACTAAGTTCCCACTCCAGTAGAAAAACCAATCACCTCAATTAACATTTCTGTGGCAGAAGAGGTTGGTATTCTCTATTTCACATGCAACAAAGAATACAATTCCCCACAAAGCATCTGAAGAACTGTGGTTAGCTTTACTCAGAAGGCATATTGTATAAAAGCTGTAAACTCTCAAGCTGAATATAGAATTCTCACTCTTTCTAAAGAATATTCATGCTGATCCACACAAGCATTGATGATTACACTGTGCTCCTCCAGGTCCTTTATGGAGCATAAGCCTGTGCTTGTAGAATGGCACACATGCTAAATACATATTTATGGAACAAAATCCAATCTGTGCATTCACGGTCCTTATTCTATCCACCTGATTACATATATACTGTCCAGTCAGCTCTCTGAAAGAAGGAAATATTTTATGCTTATACATAATTTTTTCCACCAAAAAGTTATTTTTTAAAACTATCATGCCTTTGAAAATCTAAGAAGCTCAGCAATGTTTTGTGTCTAATAATCTAATATCCACTGCTCATGCATTCTAGAATTAAAAAAAAGGTATGCAGCAGAGTTTAGATTTTGGTAAGAATTTTGGTGGCTAATAAACCAACTTTGAGTATGGTATATTTGGCTTTTACAGCATAAGTGTGTAACTGTATTAAGTAACATTTCATTTTACTGGGAAAAGGCAGCATGGTTGCTCTCTACCAAGAGAAAATATTTTAAAGTCAGGCCAGTTGCATTCTAAGAGATCAGGTTTATATTACAAATTGGAGTTCAGCCAGTCCTTGAGTTTCGATTGAAGGATCAAAAGATTACAGGGGCTACATTATCTACAGTTTTTCATTAACGAGTCATATCCATTGGTTTTTAGAAACCCTTTTTGGGGCTCAAATTGGAACAAAAATTACAGGCTGCTAAATCATATCTCAAGTGCTCTGTCGCACGGTTATCCAGCTGCCAATTCTGCAATCCTATAAGCAGTGGTATCTTCCACACTAGTGCTACACCAGTTGCTTCTACAGGCAACATTTTCATGCAGTTGCAGCAACTCTTGGGCAACAGCTGGTCAAGAATCCAAAGAACTGAGAATAAAATTCACACAACCTATTAGAACAAAGCATTCTGCTTTTTGTGGTGACAATTTCCCATAGTAGCTTCATAGTAAATCAAGAGGTAATAGATGGGAAACTGGATTTCACTGATCCCTAGCCATCAGACGAGTCTACATCATTCTCCAAGTGCACACTTGGCTCTCCTCCCTGCATACACTCGGGCATGAGGCCATGCTGAAGCTCAGTGCACCAGAAACTCGATGCATCCTGCAGCCAACTCTTCCCTTGCAGTAGCGTTGCCAGGCAAGCACTCACCAATTCATGCTCACCAGTCTGAAGCAAAGTCTTGTCGTTCATGGGTTCCTTTCTTTGGGTCTTTTTAATTGGCTGAAGACTGAAGTGCTGAGGTGCAACCAGGCTGGCACCTGTTCTTACCTCTGCCATTAGAGTGTCTCCAAAGAATGTTTATCAATATAGGCATAGGTATTTTATACAGGTAAATACTGGCTTGTCATTACCAGTAGCAGTCTGGTAATGATCTATTTAAAATATTCCCTTGCAAAGACAACTGTTACCGGTCCATGTATTTTACTTAAGTGCAGGTGAAGAGTGTAAGAGCTAATGGAAATACTAACTGGAGTCAATTATCACAGACTAGCCTAGAGATTAGCATTTAAATTTATGGTTGCTGTTGGGTTGTGTTTGTTTTTATTGGCTTGTTTGAGTTTTTTTAATCCAAGACTCACAACCATTTAAATATGTGTAAGTAGAGGCCCTGATGATGGCAGTCTTCAAAAAATTAATTAAAAATGTATCAAAACTCTCCACCATTTTGTGCAGAATTGAACCCAGGAAGTGGCTGYTGTGGCTGCAAAAGATAGAAATGTATCTCCCAGCGATGAATCCAGTGGTGGATTACATTTCTAAATCCAAAACGTTTCCCTACTTACGTGGCTGTTTCCAGGGACTGACAAAGCAGAATATGACTGGAGGACCAGTCTGCTGTACTGGGCAGAACTAGCAAATGACCAAAATAAGGACAAGTAAATAAAGAGCCTAAAAGTTCAATACCAGTTTTGGACTAATCTCACTTTTGATAATGTGGGATTTTCAGCCGTTGAACAGCAATCCATGTGGGAACCTCCTATCCTCAGTCATAGCTGAGAAAGAATCCTGAAAAGCTGCATGGCTTTTCTCAGACCTCAGGAGTTCCTGTCAGTGCTGCCAGGGGCTACTGCAATGCATCTGCCTTTAAATTTCATTTACACCAAAAGCAGGGAAGGGGGTGAAAATTCTCTGTCCTCAGCTCATCCCAACCTCCAGCAAAGGCATGCTGCTCGCTCCAAGGAAGAATGAGGCCCAACACAATGGGTAGGCAGCATTCCCTGAGCAGCTGCAATTGTAATACTTACATAGAAGATTCAAATATTACAGCATGAAGCTCAGTCAGGGGAGCATTAGGCTGGATATCAGGAAAAAGATCTTTATCCAGAGGATGTTGGGCACTGGAACAGGTGCCACAGGGAAGTGGTCATAACATCAGGCCTGAGAAAATTCAAGAAGTATCTGGACAAAGCTCTCAGGCACATGGTATGATTCTTGGGGGGGTCCTGCACAGGGTCAGGGGTTGGACTCAAAGATCCTTGATGGGTCCCTTCCAACTCAGTATATCCAATGATTCTATGATTAAATAATGGCTTTTTCCCAATACCCATCAATGCAACAGGTGTACTCCATATACCAAAGGAAAATATGTTCCACCACAAATACTAAAAAGCTTGTAATGTTTGTGACATAACCATACCATTGTTTCTGTTTCTGCTTCAGAGGAAATAGCCATGCAGCCACATCCACAAAATATTTTATGGAAAACTTATTTCAGAGACAAAGCCAAAACCACTCATGTTTCTTCTTAAGCTGATTTAAGGCTTTTCAGAACATACTAATGCAAAGAGCTATAATTAACTTTAGCAGCAGTCTCATGTATGATTTCAGTAATTGTTATTAGCTTTGTAGCAAACAAAGTGGTTCTTACCTGGGACAGAAGCACAGTGCAAGCATCTTTTTTTTTTTTTTTTCAGGCAACAAATGAATACACTGTTAGAAGCATTGGAATATTAGGACTCCTTTTGGGAAAAGGAACCCCTGTAACACAACTGCACAGAGATAAACATTTACATCATTACCACTCTTACTTGGTCTCCCTAATTTCCCAGCACCCTCAACTCCTCAGTAAGCTCTGAGAACAGTTGGCTTAGAAAGATTCCCAGGAACACAAAAGTTGAGTACAAAGCATGAACTCTTTGCAAATGGTGGTATTTCCTACAGAAGTATGAAAATAGTAAATCTGGCATCCAACATACTTGGCAAATAAGCCATGAGGGAAAGAGAATTTTAGCAGTCTAGAAGCCAAGTAAAAATTCCAGTGTCAAGACTTGAAGAAGTAGCAGCAGAAATATGATGAATGAAAAAAAGTTCTACAGAAGTACAGAGCCAATAAAAGTACCAAAAGAAAATAAAAAAGCCCTCTCAGYTTACTTATAATCAAGGCATATTTTACTGACAGATCAAGAGACCAGATGATAAGGTGTCTTACATAACATTCAGAATTTCAAATCATTACAGGCTCTATTTGAGCTACAAAAGCAAGAGATTTTGTATACTTCATGCTGACAGTTCTGGAGAGAAACCGCAATAAAATTCTCAAATTTATTCAGATTGATTAGCCATACTAACATACTGCAGCAGCTGCATTGCCATTGCTCAGCATTTTGTGTGCATGCAAAGCACGAAAGATGTGACAGTACTGTGATTTTCCTGATATCTGCAGAATTACACAACATGAAACATATAGTTAAAGAGAAAGTTTAACTAAAAGGCAGTTCTTTAAAAATGGCCAAGTGAAACTCCAATAGTATATGGAAAGTTAGCACAATATATATTCATGACTGTCAAAGACTGTGAAGCTTAAATTCTCATTAAACAGTATTTGTTTTAAAATCACAAGGGACTTGAAAACACAAAAACATTTTTGGAGCATTTGCCAATCCTTGCCTGTTGTATCAAGGCACACAGCACCTTCCATCACTCAGGGTGCAGAACAGAATCAATGCTCATACTGCTGGCTCTGTTGGGCAATCTCCCTCAAATATCCCTGAGATGGATAGTTACCATTAATCACACTGGACTGGAAAGTTCATCTATTCTCAGCTTGACAGGGTATCACTTTCTCTCAGGTAAGTGCTTCAGAATGAGAGTAAAATTACATTCATAGTCCCAGCCATCTATTTCCATGAAGCTGAGCACTGAAGGAGATTTAACAGCACATCCTGTTAGTCCTCAGATATTTTCTACAGGACTCAAGACACTGAATATTCTTTTCAGATTACTGCATTAGGACTGATCAAACTTGTGTTTCAGAGGTAGTAATTTCTCCACATACTTTAAGAGCAGCTGAATCAGCATTAGAAAACCTGGTAGGAGGTGTTCTAGCTCATTTCAGCTCTCAAGCAATTAATATGGCAGCAGACAGATAATGCTGATCAAGAACTGAAAAGAAAACATTACTGTACCACAAAATGTCCTTTCACTGGTATTCAATCTCCCCTCCAGCACACTTGGAGCTTTGAGGAAATGCAAGCCGTTTCATTCCGTTGAGTGATAAAACATGCATCAGTACCTGGAGAGTTTTCAGGAAAAATAAGTATTTTATGGTTCCAGAACTTGAACAGTGTGGTGCTTTAGACTCTTTTGAAAAATAATCCTGCAAATGCACATGAAAATCTTAAACAAAATCTATGCCAAACACTTCTTGTGGCATAACCAGGAATGTGGATGCAATAGCAGGAAACAGTTGTGGGAGACACTGACACAGGAGGCAAAGCATGCAGTATAGCGCCTTATGAAATACTGCTGATCCAACTTCTGTAAAGGAAGGACTAAAATCTTCATGTACCCTTAGCTGTGCTGCTGATTCCTGGCTTACAGCATCTTCAGCTAATGCTTTTCTTCAGAGAAAAGATGATACTTGGCAAGTACCCTGCACACTCTTACATCATGTTAAGTTTTTAATGTCTTGCTTTAGTACTTCTCACCATATGTGTACATCTGGTATCATAACTGAATAACTGAATCAGAAGTTCTATTCTTTCAGCTCTCCTGAGAGGTGAGGAACATTTGGGTGTAAGCACACCCAAGTGCTTACATTATTTCCAAAATAAAGCACAAACAAGACCGTGTTTTCGTAAGTAGCAAACCCTTGACCGCACAAGAAAATTTTTTAGGTCAAGTGTGGATAGTAAAATCTGATCTTATGTGCCTTAGAGAAACAATGTGTTTATATTTGCTCAGCATTAGTATTCTGAAGAAAGCCATCTATTTGGTCATAGAAAGATCAAACAAGGCCAAAACTGTAAAAGCAGATAGATACTGCAAAGCCACCCATTACAGATGACTGATGACACAAAGATGGCCTCGTGCAGTGTCTAGCAAAGTCTGACATCTCAGGAGCAGGGGCTTCCTGAAATAAAAGCAGCAGAGTACAGATGAGCTTGAGATAGCATTGAAAACATGCCCTGAGCAGGCATGAGCACACGTTGTACTGATGCAGCTCCAAAGAACAGTTTGCTTAATAAGTCCTTTGGCTGCGCAGTGCAGCTTTTTATCTCCCTTACTCGCTGTCCTACCGCCGCCCTAATCGACACAGAGATACGAACATATTTGTTCTCACAAGGTCACAGCAGGAACAGAAGTGCAGGAGTCCACCAACCACAGAGAACTGACATCTTTTCAGACCTGTACTTGCACTCCATTTCTGAACCTTAACCTGGAAATCTGATGGCCAGTAAAAGAACAAAGTTGTCCACTTCCCAGGAAGAAGCTATTTGGCAAAAACCTTGATGAAATTAAAAAAAACAAAACAAAACAAAACAAAAATAATATATATTTTCAGTTAAAAATCAAACATTTGGCACTCATAGGCCATTAGAGAACTCTCAGTCACATCTCCACACCCGTATTGGGAAGCCGGAGAAGAGAAATCAAGTACGGGCCAAATATATAAAAGAGTAAAGAACAAAACATCCACTAAAAGTTGCATTCTCACAGAGAGGAAAAATTGATCTTTTAAACACCTTGAGTAAGGAAAAAACCCCATTAGACCTACACACCCAGTCTCTTTTATCTGCTAGACTGAAGCAATTCTTGGGTTAAAACTGCACTGACCTCTATGTATGTGTAGGTACAGAGCTGATGTAGAGTTTTAACTCATGAAATCTGTAGAAAAAACAGGATATTTTATTTTCATTTCTCACAATATTCTTCCAGTCGGAGAATACCAGAGTCACTTTCAAAACAATCGTGTAAGTAATGAACCCAACAATTTAAAAAGGGGGGGAGGGTGTTGTGACATGAAATACCCTTTTTTTTTCAACAGCTTGTTACTCAACCCTAGAACAAGTTTACGATCTAGTTATTATTTCCTCCTCCCTCTTCTACTCCTAAATGTGCCAATTTAAATAATCAATCCAAAGTATGCATTAATTAAAGCTCCTTACAAATTATTCTCAATTTGCATTTATTACACTTTGATGTATAGAGAAGGGAAAGGCTTTTCTTTCCATTTACTGCTGTTACTAATATTGTGAAAATCTGTTTTTTAAGAGACTTATGTTTGCGATAGCTCTCACTCTTCGTGCCCTTCCCTGAGGAACTGCCTGTTCTTCTGCAATTAAGTTACCCTGTATGAATCCCACGCTACTCAGCTTCTTTTGTAACATGGAGTACATGCATAGAAACTTCTCCAGGTACTGGAGCAAACTTTCCAGTCTCCTAAATCATTTTTATCAGCTATTTCTACAAAGCAGTTATAAAGCCTTTTAAATCAAATTATTAGGGTTTTGTAACATGAGTTTGTACTTAAGACATATTTTGCATCATAAATACTTAAAAAGCGTTTCTTATAACAGCAAGGCACAGATAATTTCTTTACTTCTTTTAAGTAGCTCATACCATTAAAATACTTCAAATGAAAATTACATTAGTTTTATTTAGTTTTATTATTATCAGCTTATTATTAATTGTGGGCTTAAAACAGCACACTGACAAAGGATGCAATTAATACACATTTTGGTTTTGCTTTCTAGATGAAAGCCACCATGTAACTAAAGATGCAGTCAAACCACAGGGAATAGGTTAACAAGTCTTGTGGCCTTCTCCTTAGCTTTTTAGGAATGACTAACATACACAGTATATGGCTCCTATGGGCAGAGCTATGAGCATCATTTATTAATATTTTCCAATGCTTGCCAGGTGACAAATCTCTTTCTGGAACAATGTTCAGACATGCAACAGAAACTTTTTAAAATTACTTCTACAGTTCCATTTTGGCAAAACCTACAGAGAACCCTGACATGCAGCTAAGGAAGAGGAACTGCTGGAAGGAAAAGGTGGAAGAGGAGGCCAAATTGACAGGGAGATGGGGTAGGAAAGACTGTGAGCTAAGAAATAATACGGTAATGTGGAGTAAATTAGAGTTTCTACACTCCCTCCACTTACTTCATGCTTTTTCTACAGGAAGGAATTGCAGAGACCACCCACCCTGGCCCGCGATCACTCCCCTTTAGCCTGGTCAGGAGCTGTAGGCACAGGACACCCTGGCGCCTTAGGGCACAAAGAAGGAAAATGGGGCCTTTCATTCCACAGTCGTCACAGAAGCTTCAGGCCAGCAAGGATAATTACCAGCTTGCTTTTGCCATCCCAGATGAAGTTGAATCACAACCCCAAAACACCAAGTTTGGTAATCTCAGCTGAGGTCTCCTTTGCACAGCTATTTATATCAGGCATATGGCATGGTCAGAAACCTCGGGATATTCAGCCATGCTGGTATTATTAGAACAACATGAGGGTGAACTGCACTGGTTTTTCGGTTCTGCCTTGAGCTGGACAGTTTACAAATGCTGTGCGAAAGCAGGACTGACGTGTTTGCATTCTGTTCACAGCACATCGTCATTTCAAAACTGGCACCTACAGAAGCCTGACAGTCAAATCAAACAACTTTGTAGCCGGGCTGAACAGGCTTTGCCATGACAGACCATGATATATTGAGGCACAGGAATCCATTTCTCCAGTGACTGAGAGCATGTGCTGCTGTTTCTGTAAGGAAACCACCCTCCTGATCTAATTAATGAAGTTATTTCTTTTCTTGCTCTTCCTTTTAAGACACTGAACACACTTTTTCAAGGCACGCTCAGGTAAACCAGCCAAAGATTTAAAAAGGGAAATTAATGAAACCCAGTCACAGTTACTAGTAAATAAACCCTTTTCTAAAAAGCAAGGCCCTCAACGGCTTCTCATTATTACCCTTATTTTCTGAACAGGACTTGTATTTAAAGAAGCAGAAATTAACTCAAAGCGTGTGTGACTTTCACATTGTTGAGCAAGAAAGATTCACCAAAAATGCAAAAATACTTGCAGAAAAAAAAGAAATATGAGTTTTGAGGGGTTTTTTTGAGAAACAAACTGATCTTGATAGCACCCTTATGACAAAATAAGCTGCACTAGATTCTTCGCAGGAGTAACAGGAGCATTGAAACAGATCTGATAAAGAAAGGGCAGGCTTAAGGGTAGTATTCCCTCCTGACAGTCACAAAATATATATGCCTCAAAACTTAATCTCCAGGTTGCTGGCCTTACGAGAAAAATGTCGGTATCCAAAGAATAAAAACAAAACCAGAGTTGTTTACAAAGCATTCTGAATTTTTCATCACCTCTTGCATCTAGTAAGCATTTGTTAGCAGGATTTAGAAAAGCACTGCAAAAAATATTTTATGCATTGTAAAACTGTCAGTCTCTCAAGTAAAATAGCCTTACCTGGTACAATACAAGACTCTTTTCTTTCACAATTTACCTTAGTTCTGGAGAGAAGAATGAAAATTTGTCTTATCCAAATGTCAACTGACAATTAAAAAAAAACAACAAAGTTTTAAAGGAATCATCCTTGATAAAAACATCTGCACAACAACAAGTAATTATTCTGAACAGATTCTCCCAGTGACAAGTTTTGCAGGCAAACATGAAGATTTTTCTCAGTGTGTGATGCCATGTGTGAAGGGCTAAAGTAACTGCAAACCATTTGAAAACCTCTGCTTGTACATCACGTCACACCACTACTGTTGGACAGCAGGGACCTCCTGCTGTCAGCTGTACTCATTGAACCGGCTGCCACTAATTTCAGGAAAATAAATCAATAAACAAACCAAGCTGAGCAAGTCAAACTTTGACCCTATTCACACAGTCAAATTTTCAGATTAATAAGACACTTTGCTTCCAAATGTAATATGGAAGAGTGCTGAAGAGGAGAAATTCCAAGCATCAAAGTGATTAGCAAAAGTGCAATTACCAAAGACAAAGCATAGAGGATTTAAATTTTTACAGGCTACGTGTTTCAGGAACAAATAATATTTTATATTAAGAATGTTTTACTGTATTTTTGGCAGTCTAAATGAGTGTTCTACTGAGAAACGATTCCCACCAGAACAATCAGCTGCTCAGCAAGGATATGTCACAAGTCCCTTGACACGGAGGGAGGCAAGGGAAGAGGAAATGCATTTAGAAATTATTTCTGTAAGTCATTAACGAGTGAGCCATTCTAAAAGATTGAGCTAAGAACACTCAACTACCTTAAAAACCCCATAGGGGCTTTTATCATTTCAGATTCATGGTACAAGTACATTATTAGTTTTGCCATTATCCCTTCAGATTATTGCACACATTTTATTATTGCCATTTAAAGGATTCTAATAGGATAACATCATCTTTATTAAACTTGACACAAGATGATTCTTTTAGCATCAAATCAGATTAAGATATTACAAAAAATACACAGCTATTAACAGATTGCAATAAACTATTAAAGGAACATCTTCCTTACAATAGTGGTCTTTAGTTTACAATTAAGAGACAAAAAAAATTGAGGAGTTTCTCTCATAATATTTTGCCAAATTAGCAATACTTGAGGCACTTTTCAGAAATTATTGAAAGCTATGAACAATTAGCATACCCAGTTAAATCTGAAGAATATGTCTACAATATTACAATTTTTCATATGACACTAGTTCAACTAGTACTAGCTGCTTTTAAAATCCATTTTTCTAGAAGGTAAAAAAGTTTGTAGAAGCCAGCTCTAAGCTTTCTGGCTGTCTATAGTAGCAAATATGCTGCTCCTATAATCTGCACATAATTCATGCATAAACAATCATTTGTAAGCCTCACAACATTAACTTAAGGTAGGAAGTGCCAGTACCCTTTATATAGAATAGACAGATTGCAACTTGCTAAGAGGAAGAGGAAGTATGAAGCAGACAACTCCATAGGCTCATTCATCCCATACCACAACATGGATCTCTGATATTGCTCCAGAAGATAGTATTAATCTGTTCATTCTACCATTGAGAACAAGGTGTCTTTCCAAGCACAAGACTAAACACTGACCAGATGATTTTTACAAAGGAGAGCTGTTGTGTTTCAGTAGTTCTTGATCACTCACTATAAAACCTTCTATGACTTTGCAAAAAAATCACATTATATTTTTGTCCGTGGACTTGTCAAAACATATTAAATTAATAGAAGTCAAATCCTGTTCTATGCATATCCACAGCCATGAGAGAAAAATTCTTGCCCCAATTTCAAAATCTTGCAGAAGACAGGAAAGCTTTGCAGTTTCCCCATCTCACCCTACACCTAGCCTCTCTGCTAGAATCCTTGCACAAAAAATAAAAATAAACAAAAGTATGCTGCCATGACTGAGAACTGAAATACATCCAGAATCCACACATTCATGGTCCCAAACCAAGGGCACCGGTCTCATTTGATTTGTAATATTGAGTTCCTTGATTAAAAATTTAAAATAATCAGACAAGCTATCAGGGTGGATGGAAGAAAGCTGTTTCCAGTGGGAAGAATTTTCTTGTTCCTTCTGGCAAATGGATCATCAAAAAAGAGGTGCACCCACAAATATCACAGTTGTTCAGTATCATATCCCAAAATGGGTTCCAGCCACTTCTCTACCTCTGCCACAGACAAATTTTTTCTCAGTGCATAATCTTCAACCTGCAAAAGGACCATAAAATGTGATAAAGATTTTGATACTCCAACATTAAGAATTTACAAAATTTTGAGACAGCTGCTCATAAGATGATTTTGAATGCTCTAACACTACTACAATGGACAGTGTCAGTTACCTGATCTTTACATATCTTGCCAACAGMAAAATATTTGGAATTCAGACTGGAGAAGTAGAGGCCAGAAACTGCAGAAGCAGGTATCATTGCTAGTGATTCTGTTAGACCAATTCCTGGAAAAGACAATGAGAATTTTCTTATTCTCTGAATTGAGAATAAGCACAAATTCAGAACCATTTTTGTTTATTGGGCAGCTTCAAACAAACTCAAAAAAACGAAAAAGTTTTCAGATGAACTAAACCCAAACCTTTTTCCAATTGTTAACCACTAAGAAAACCCCCAGAGCTTTAAACATACTGCAGACTTGCATTACAGTTACTGCAGAGTAATTGTACAGTTTGAAGGAAAAGCTTGGACATTTTGGCAAATGAGGTTTTGAAGCACAGGAAGATATTTTTGGAATTGTGGAAGTAGCAGTAAAACATCTGACATGTAAAATATCAGAGGAAAACAAATGGAATTGCTCCGTTTTTAAGAATTACCATCTCAAGGTTTGTGTGGACCAGGAAACACACTGCTGAATTATCTTTTTTTCTTTTTCTCTCTGGAATGTCTTCTTACAACCATAAGGATGCCAGAAATTTTCTCTGTGCAGCAGAACCCTGTTTGTGAGCAATCTGCTAATTAGGGACACAACTCCTCCGCTAAAAGCACTGGCAGTGTTTTGCAAATTCTTCCTTGAATGAGGCAAAATAAAAATGGCAATAAAAAGGGAAAGACAGCAATTCCCAGCAGCATTTCAGTTTAGTATTTCATGTAGTTGTGCACCACCCAATTTTTTCTTTTGCTGGAATTTTGGTTTTACATAAAAACAGTTTAAGGATCTCAGTAAAGCAGAGTTACCTGTTGTTTCCTCAATATTTGCAAGTTTCCACATGGTGAGTTTTTCTGTATGGTCAGGCTGGCTCGGATATCCCGGGGCAGGGCGAATTCCCTCATATTTAATTTTGCGTAGGCCTGAGAGATCCAACTGCTCACTTGTACTGTAAGCCCAGAATTCCCTTCGAACCCTTTCATGGAGTTCCTCAGCAAAAGCCTTGGAATAGAATGAAAAGATTTTTTTATTTGTAAAGACTGATGCAATAGCTATTTGATTAAGATGAACAATAACAGACTTTGTCATATTGCCATTTTCACTTTAAAGGGAAATCCTAACAGAGGTGAGAAATTTGATAGAATTAAAATTCACAGGTAATGTTTTGCTAGTTCAGGTATTTTAGTTACTTCTCCTATTGGTAGAGAGTGCTTTTTTTTTTATTGTCTTGCTTTAAATCCTACACATTCAAAGAGGTAAAGATGCAGACAAGTAACCCAAAAAGAAAAGTTCATTAACCTATGGTAGTGACACACTGTTACAACACTGAGGTCATTAAGTCTTGACTCTATGTGGGTGTCTCAGGTGTAGCTATGGAAGGCCAAATCAATCTTGCATCCATGGTAGGATCAGATAAGCATGTGTTGCTGCTCCTTCTAGCAGAGATCCTTTCCTCCAGCTCAAAGTGGGTAACAGCTTTTCTGCACTGCTCCTGTGGCTTATGTGATTCTGCCAGACCAGTTGTCCTTCAGAAAGAACTCCCAGTTCAGTAAGTATCTTCAGATAATAATAAAAATAATAACCATCTAATCTAATAATTTCTGAAACCCTGCTATAGCTTGAAATAGATAGAGCTACTCCCACTCACATTGCACTGAAGTGGCTCTAAGTTTGCTGAAAGTTGCAAAGAAACACATGATAAAACCTCCTACCTCTGCCAACCGATCACCAAGAGCCTTCACCATGATAATGTTGTATTCATCATCCTGTTTCCTAAATTCGTTGCATAAATCATCCACACCAAAGCAGGCCACAGCAAACAGGCCTAGGTAGTCACAAATGCCAGAATCYAGTGGTGCTATAAAGTCAGAGAGGCAGTAATACGGATCTGTGCAGGCAGAGTCCTTTTCAGCCTAAAGTAATGAAACCAATACAATAAATCAGAACACTTCAAAATACATCATTAGTGCACTATTAATCTTTAGCTTAAGCAGTATTAATCTTTAACTTACTATACTTAATCTTAGTATTTATAAGACTAAAGGGCATAGGGCATTTCTGACAAATACCTAACTAGTCTTGGAGCCATGGAAGCTTTCCTACAGTTAAATTAAAAGAAAACCACCTCTCTTACTCTGAGGGTGTTTTGACCACTGAAGAACAAACCACCAAAGTTTGAGAGATGCAGTACTGAACACACATTTTGTTTCTATTTACAGCTACTAAGATTTAACAGTTTATACTGTTAAATTTGCAAATAAATTATTACAAAATAAGGAATACTCTTGTGCCAACCACTGGGTAAGAGGAGGAATATTTCATCTCTACTCCGAACAGATTCCACATTTGTTAACAAAACTGATGGTTGATGTGCAAACTGAAGAATTCTTCACCAACTCCCCCTATAGATGAGTTATGAGTTCATAAACACTCCTAGGCTCTTAAGCTATTATACTGAACTACGTGTTCAGTAACCCAGACGAAACAGCACTCAGGACACAGAGCTTATTCTAATCACACACAAATACAAACAAAACGGATCCATCACTACTGAAAAGTTGAATCCTAGAAGTTCAAGCAGTCTGCGCGAAGCAAAGACGTCCCATGGAAAAGGACCTGGAGCTGCTGGTGAACATCCAGCTGAACATGAGCCAGCAGTGCCCAGGTGGCTAAGAAGGCCAATGGCACCCTGGCCTGGATCAGAAACAGTGTGGCCAGCAGGACGAGGGAAGTGATTCTTCCCCTGTACCCAGCACTGGTGAGGCCACACTTCAAATACTTTGTTCAGTTTTGGGGCCCCCAATTGAGCAAGAACACTGAGGTGCTGGAGCAAGTCCAGAGAAGAGCAATGAAGCTGGTGATGGGTTTGGAGCGCTTGTCCTGTGAGGAATGGCTGAGGGAGTTGGGGAAAATGAGGCTCAGGGAGACCCTATTGTCCTTCACAACTACCTGAAGAAAGGCTGAAACCAGGAGGGGGTTGGTCTCTTCTCCGAGATAACAACTGACAGAACAAAAGGTCAGTCTTAAGCTGTGCCAAGGAAGGTTAAGTTGGACATTTGGAGGAATTTCTTCACAGAAAGTGTGATTAGATACTGGAATAGACTGCCCAAGGAGGTGGTGGAGTCACCATCTGCAGAGGTATTTGAGAAAGACTGGACATGGCACAGAGTCCCATGGTCTAGCTGACATGAGATTGTTCATTCATAGGTTGGATTCAATGATCTCAGAGGTCTTTTCCAACCTAATTGATTCTGTGAAATAGGGAATTATACTGCTCACTGGATGCTTTTCCAAAATGGAAAAAAAAGTAACAGAAAGAAGTAACTGAGCACCCAAAAAGAAATCTTGAATCATATCAGCATAGTCATTGTGGAAACATGATTGTTATTTAAGAGGCAGTACAGTTCTTGCTAATCTACCCAACTCACAGAGACAGGGAAGTTACTTAATGGCTATCTCTTAGCTGAAGATTCTTTTTCTTTCTATTCTATGATAATATTTTAGCAATGCTTTTCACCCTTCCCAACTGCATCTTAAAAGCAAATAAAACCCCCACCCTTGAAAAACAAAGAAAAAGCATCTATTAACCTACAAGGTTTCAGAAAGCACCATAAAACTAAAGAAATACCCTTTTCTCCCACAGGTGAAATTTATGTTAATTTTAAGGTTCTTTTAAAATTATTAGTTAGAGAAAATACTACATGCATCTCCAACTTTTAGATTTACATCACATCCTTAATTAGTGTCGATGTCATGGAGAGAACTCTGTGGACTGAAAAGGAACATTTTATATAAGAAACAGAAGACAATTATTCTCTTCTATTTTGCTCTGCTAAAGACTGTGCTGGGTTACTATGTACACCAGGCTGGAAGAGATTCAGCTAAAATTCACAGACTGAATTCATAGACTGATTCAGTACAGCATGCACAGAGTTTCACAGCCTTAACCTTTGAGAGAAGCCTGAATAATTGGGATATACAAGATAAAAAAGCCTAAGGAATGTAACAGTATTCCAATAATAAAAATCATTAAAAGAACAGCTTCAGATATTTTCCTTGGGAGAATCCTGGGAAAAAGCCAGGAAAAGAAACAGTAGTAAAATTGATTTATATGGGATATCAAAATGTTTAACTAAGGCATAAGTCTCTGGAACATCCCTGCCTGTGTGCTTGTTGAGAGCATTTTATATAAACATCTGCCATGTATTGTCAAGATACACTAAATCCATCTCAGGGAACTGCAACAGATAAACTAAGAGCCATGTACTTCTTGGTATAGTTCTGCAATGTTGCCACACAACTGTCCTCATAGAGTATTGTACACCAGACATTTAAGTAGTTGTTAATTTTTTTTTCTGCCTACATTCAATGACTCTGAAAATGTGAACTATGAAAAAGCCAAATCAGAAGATAAGGGAAAAGGAGAGGCAGTATATCTTGAAAGTTCAATCTACCAAATTAAATGCAAATCTAGCTAAGTATGGTTATCTCCAAAATTAGCAGCCAACTAATTCTAAACAGCCCCTTCATATAGTGAATTTTCAAAAAAATTAGGACTATCAAAAAAATTTCTCTCCATTGAACTTTATTTTCCATTTTTAAAAAAAATCTAACTGGGTTTAAGCATTAACACATTCAAGCAGAATTTTTCACATAAAGTAGAATCCAGGGGTATTAGAGATCTAAGGTCCATTAGGTTCTAATTTAGCAACACAAGATTCATGTGAATAATTTATACAGCGTGTTGCTTTAGGACATCTTAAATATTAAAACTGAGACAGAAAATGCACATCATATCTGAAGATGTCAAACCTATAAAGGATTTTGTAAAATTACCACAATGCAAAATACTACAAATACTACAATACAAAGACCTGACTCATGACTAACAGGATATTGTTATCACTGAAAGAAATTACAACAGCTGCAGAGATATTGCAACAATAATTTTCTACATATTTTAATAGGGCACTTCTATTACATTCTTGCGATTCAGGGGGGAAAAACTGTCATTTAACAAATGTGCTGTCACTGACCTGTTGCCTCAAGCCATAAAATTTTGCTATCGGTTCTGAAGATCCCACTGCCTCTTCTACAGCATACAAGTGGATATCATCTTGAACACTTCGAGCTGGCCAGAATCCAACCACACCTCTGGCTTGTAATTTCTTTTCATTGATCAATGTTTTCAGTAGATTTTGAGCATCATTATAAACTCTCTTTGCTTCTTCACCTATTAAAAAAAAAAAGGAAAAAAAAAGAAAATGCCTCAGAAGAGGTATGTTTTCATAACTGGGTAAATAGGTTGAAGAATTGTTTCAATTGATTCATTTTCCACGTAACTCTCTGATGACTGCAATGATCTGTCAGCTATATCAAATAGGAAGATAGCAGTGTGATTATACAGATCTTAGGGAAAAAAAACCCTAGCAAACCACAAAATGTTTCAGCCAGCATCATTCTAGCAGAGAACACAGAATAAAATGAGCAACACAGACCTGGTGCACCTACATTACCACAGTGCAGCAGACCCAGAACACCGCTTTCAGTGTCACTCTTGCATTTCCATCACATATTTCAAAGTCTACTGAGTATTTTTAAAAGCAGACAGAGCTCTTTTGCCATCTTCACCCACAACACAAATACAGGTACTTCAAGTGCTCTTCTGTCATTTTCTGACAATAATATACCTCCCTGTGCTTTGGCAGGTCAATGCTGAGTAATACAACTGAGCATTTTTCCCCACTTTTTTTCAGCCTCACATGGCAACAGTTGGTTCACTAAGTGTTGCTCTGAACAAATTATTTCCATGACTTTGATTTGCATGTATTTGCACTATTCCTATGCATTTCAAAACATTTAGAATCTCACTAGAGCACGACAGACCTGTTAGGATTATTTACATGAAGCAAATGCAATTTCAATACTCACCTACAGTTTTATCACTAAAGATCTTAGGGAAACTCCGGTTAGGATACTTTCCCCTAAGTTGCCAGACATCAAAGAAGGGCTTCCAGTCAATGTACTCTACCAGCCTCTTCAGGTCATAATCTTCAAAGACTTTTGTGCCAATGAATTTTGGTTTAACTGTAGGAATCAGACATACAATCTGACATGATGAAAATAACTTTAAATTGCTTCTACATTTACAGCATTACTGATGATTAGCAGCCTCCACCACTGCAAATGATCTCTTCCACAACAATTGTCCTAGAATTCTCACTGTCATTGTTGTTACCAAGTCATACCATACTCCACAGATACAATGTAATGCCAAAAAAAAAAAAAAAAAAAAAAAAGCATAAAAGGCATATAAAGTTGAAATAGAAAATTTAAAGCCTTTTGTTCTTCCATGTAAATCAATACTTTTCAGCTGCTGGACTTTGGAACTTATTTCATTGGCCACAATATTGGCCAAGACACAAGACCAAAAAACCCTACACAACCTTACCAATACTTAACATATTTCATGGGCACATAASTTTCATATTTACAAATTCCTTTCTATGCACAGGTATGTATGCTATGATACTGCAGAGTATTTCTATAAATTTATGTGTARTTTTTAAGAACTTTTGCAGCCACCACACATCTGTTTACATTAACGCACACAAGCGAGAAAGCAAGATGGATCTATCTGTGTAAAGCCATAAGCTTTCCACTTGTTTTCTCTGTTCAATACTTTGTGACACACTAAGATAAGCTACTGAAAATTAGCATACTGTCTTTACTGTCTTGTAAATGAAACTAGAGAAAGAAGTGTTAATGTCATTTTAGGGTGCAACTTTTTCTGGAATGCTGGTTATACTTCTAGTATTCTTCTAATTGAAATAAAAAAAAAAATCAAAACAAACCAGCATACAATCTGATGGGGGAAGGGTAGGAGAAAGTGTAAGGAGGAATTTGACAAAAATGCCATGTCACAATGTGTGTCCCCCAAATATGGTACAGTAAGGTGTGCAATGTCATGAGCCAGGCAGACATTATTTTGCAAAAGCTGTCATTAGAGTTTTCTTGGATTACATGTTGTTATGGGTAACTCATTAGTTTATGATTTTTTTCAGTTGTTTTCATTAAAGAATAATATATTTTTTTAAGTGAGCTGTAAAAAAATAAAGCATAAACAGATTGTTCAAATTAATGTAAAAGAAAACTCTGCTGAGACAGATATCAATTTACTTAAGCTGTTACGTTGCTATGTTCTAAAGTTTAAAGCATGATTTAATTAAAAATATATCTAAAATACACGAAATAAAATGAAGGCACAGCAGTAAAAAACAACAACATACAAACTGACCCGGTACATGGCCTGATAACCAGTTATTATGGAAACCTTTTCTTCTAGCTTGCTGTAGAGACAAGTATCTTCTTTCCTATATGGAAAGAAAGGTTAAATTCAGACAGTCAATCATCTTTCAGACACATAAACTGTAACTGTGGACTTCGTGGTAGAATCGTACTCAAAATACTCCTCAGGACAAATCTGACAACAGATAATTTCAGTGTCAGCAACTTGCAGTTCCCAACTGTAAAGAAAGACTACATCACAAGAACATAATTACTTTTGCCTATATGATTTTGATAAAACTGGCCTACATGATTTCTCATTTCTCTGAACAAAACCAGAAGTTGCTTTATTACTTCAAAAATACACTAAAATACAGGTACAGCAAGATATTCTACTGCTCTGATGCCTCACCTAAACAAGTCTGATATCAGGAAAGCATGGTGGTTTAAAATTCTCAACAGAGTGTGGCTCGTACCAGCAAAAGCAACCAGTACCATTTTCATTGTACCAGTTGTAACTCCACAGATCCAGCAACTGCTCCAGGAGAGAACTGGTCTCCTACAGGTTTATTAAGATGACATGACTGCCAGCTCCATGGAGGTTCTAGATACCACTGACTGACCATTGAGGACAGTCAAGAATTTGCCAAGCACGTATTAAGACTCATGCAAAAGGCCTTATAGGCTACAAAATTTGATTTCATAAGCACTTCTGGAAGTTTTCAATCCATTTTACAGCAAGTTTTAAATCAGAACAAATGTACCTGAAGGTCTTCATAAGGAGGTGAACAGCAAGAGAAATGAGGCAAGTGCCAATCACATCAAACAAGAAGATAATCAATTGCACTTGTACCTTGAGAGACTCATAGTGTTCTTGTCTAATTTCTTCATATTCTTCTAATATTTCTTCAAAGAAATCATCCCTTACACTACTGTCTAAGAGCTGAGAGCACTGAAAAAAACAGCAAAGAGAAAGCACTAAGTACATAGTGTAACACTGTGGTAAGGACAGAGTATGAATTTCATGTAAGGCAACCCATCTGTCAGACTCTCTTGGCAACACTAAGCCTTACCAATAATCTGCAACCTACATTCAAACTATTCAAACTATCCATATTTGACCGGGATTATTACTAAGAGCACTGCCCTTACTACACAGGTAATATTACCAGAGCCAGGTTTGGCTCTGGAAAGACCTGAGAGGAGAATACTCCAAAAACTTCAGAGGCTGAATAGTTACAGAAGCAACACACAGCTTGGCCTACTCTCTACCATCAGGTATTTGCTAGCGAAGACTACCCATTCCTCTGAAAAATCTCCCATCCCACAAAACTCCAGCCACATAGTTCTCAGTATTAATGTTGCCATCTAACTAACTTCAGAAATATATCGAAATTAGCCAGAATAGCAGTTCACATCTAACTCCATCAGTCTTCACTACAAAACTACAGTTAAGGATTCGGTGAATGTTGCCCTCACTAGGGAAATGGGCATTTAAATTAAAGCACCCTGTGACAATAACTGACGCGAGTCAGATGAGAACGACATGGCAACACAAAAGAGTTGAAGCAAAAGTAATTTAGAAACTTGTCTCTGACCTGCCACTTTCATTTTCTGCCGCTACATTATCCTTAGAGGAAAGGATGAAAGGCACAACAGAAAAACAGGGCATATATTTTTGTATGGATGAGAAACTGTAATTTAGAACTTACAACCACAACACTCTTGGATGCATCCAGGACATGAATTACAGGCGCACTATATTGTGGGGCAATTTTAACAGCTGTGTGTGTTCTTCAATGAAAAAGAAAAAGAGTGATCATTTCACAACTAAAGCAAAAAAACAACAAAACCAGAAAAAAAACACACTCCAAAAAACCCACCAACAAAGAAACAGACAAAAACCCCAGTGAAATAAATCCTGACTTTATGCACAGACCAGAACTTCAAAGGAAGAAATTCATTCATCCATCTGCTCTGCATGAATCATTAAACACAGATTTTAATTACAGGTATATAAACAYTTTTCTTCGAAGAGAATCACAACACTTCATAAATTATATGCCAATTCACATTCCTTCAATGTCTTACCAGTTGAATGAAAATTAGCAACTCATTAGTTTTGAGTCTCAGAAAATTTCAGTAAGATTATTCCAAACACAGCCTACCAAGAACTAACAATTTTTTTAATCTCTTTTGCTCATCTTACAGTTTTCCCTTCCTCATGATGATTTTTAGGTCTGCAGATTAGCATTAACCTAATTCAGTCATGTTTATTCCATTTCTTAAAATCAGAGGCACAAGTGATCTATACACTTGCACAGAAATTCTGCCAGCGGTCAATAAATATTAAAAACTTGCATCTTGAAGATACAGTGAACTTTACATTATAACTACAGGTGCAATAAGGACAGGACAGATGCTTCTCTCCACATTCTGTCCAATTATGAGACTACTTGCTAAATCCACAAAATATGGACTCTAATAGGTCTGCTACAATATGTGCTGCTCTAATAAAGAAAGCAACACTGCTAGTGATGCAAGAATGATCTCTGATCAGAGTCCTGTCAAAACTCTGCAAATAAGTGTAGGAACAAGGATCTTATAGGCATTATAGTTTGCTATCTTGTATGCTAAGATCAAACACAATTTTTAAAATTAAATTTAAACCAGAGCCCAAGAAGCAATCTTCCACAACAAAGGTAATACTACCTTTTTTCTCCAGTTCTGTCAAATATTTAAAGAACTCAGACATGGAGGTTTACTCGTGACTGTGCAACACAGCTGCGTAAACAACTGTCAAGCATCTCCTGAATTTGCTTCTAGGAGATGCACTTTTGATCTTGGCAGCTCTATTTTTTACAAAAAGGTATCATCTCTTCTATTTTGATAGAAACAGACAAAGGAAACAAAAGAGGGCATGATCCTAAAATGGCACAGTATCAACCACTACATACTAATTTTTGTACTTCTTTAAAAGTAAATTTTACAGCAATGAGAATGTCACTGTTATTTTTCAGCACCTGAATTTACCAAAGTAGCATAATAAGAATGCAAAAACATCGTTATTGTAAATTATGAAGAAACTGTATTGTGGGGATTCTGGAGACTAAATCCAGCCTCTCTCTCTTTCAAACTAATCTTACTATATACTCTTCCATGTACTCATTGTCTCCTTACTCCAAAAAACAATGCCTATTTATTACAGGGAATAAAATGCAGACGGTTCTTCATTAGCAGGTTCTTCATTAGCAACCTCTGAAACATACACAACCTTCAGGAATGCACACAGGAGGTTAAATTTAAGGCTGGGAAAATAATATTAAATATACATTAAGAATCCAATTTCCCATAAAGAGTACTTTTACTGGACATATATTTTATAGTCACTGTATTATGCCTGGGCATATGTACAAGTATATGTTTATATACAGTTCATATGAATAAAATCATTATTTTTGTACTCAAAAGTATACATATATTCCTCAGTAAATTCCATATTCAAGGATACAACTAGGGTTGCTTCCCTGTTAGCTACCCCTCCTCTCTGTGAATAAACTCTGCAAAATGGTTTGATGCTGGTAATTTAACATCAATTACTAGGCCACAATGCCCTGGGTGAAAACAGAGACTTTTCTTTAGATCTTCTCAAAGACCTCAGCTCAAAACACAGACTTTCCTCCACTCTCCACTTTTTTTTTTTCTTTAGTAAAAAACCCCTCCATGTTTGTTCTCAGTATCAAAGCCATAGGAAGAGGCTCATATAGAAAAGGAGAAAAAGGATAGGGTGAACCTTACATTATATGTGCAGGAACAATAAAGACAGGTAGTGATCCTACTCTCCATTATCTGTCAAACTATGAGATGAATTGCTAAAGTCAAAATATAGAATACCGTATGTGTTGCTCTGATAAAGAAAGAAACATCTCACAGCTTCTAGTTACACAAAAAATGACCACTGTAGTCTTCTGAGATGTCACGTATTCAAGTATATTGTACACAAACCAGTTAGCAAAGCATGACCCATGGCTGTTACACATGCCCAGAACACAAATGTGGTAATGCTAATACTAGGTGTCACTGAGCTGTCAACATGGAAATCATAGCAGCTGTTTTATTTCATTTGAACAGATCTGAGAGAATGCAATCTCAACAGCTCAGTCTATAAAAATCAACATGATAAGGATAAGTACTTCAAGGCAAGCAGAGGGGCCTTATCCACAGACTGTTTAAACAGCACTGAACTCATCACTGCATTGAACAAAGATCTAGGAAAATACAGTTACTTCCTTAAACATAACAGATCCCTGATGTCAACATGGCCATTTCTAGTCTCAAAATCCTGCATTTTTAGAATGCCTTGGTGAATCAAAATAGATTGTTCAATCCCTTAGAAGAACAGAACCATATTCATATACCTATAGGCATGACCTTTCAAAGAAAACAGAGTATTTCCACATATAATATACACTTGCAAAAATTAAATGTTTAAGATGTCCACTACTTGTTATGTTCTGGCTACATTTTACCTCTATAATCAAGGACTTCTGAAACAGGACATAACCTTCAATCTTAAAGTAAATACATATTAGGATATGTGTTGCAGAAAAATGAGGGAAAGGGGGAAAGAAATGGCTATAAAATTTCTTTTTCACTATTTAACACTGTTTGCATACATGTTGCCCATCTTCCCAACTGAGATATCTTACTTAGAAGTAGTTGCTCCTCCAATCAGCAAAGGAATCTTTAACGCCAATCTCTCCAACTCCTTGGCAACAAAAATCATCTCATCCAAAGATGGGGTGATGAGACCAGACAGACCAATTATATCTAGTGCAAATTTACAAGCATACATACACAAAGTTTTCAGCAAATCCACTCTAAAAAGACATAGAAATTAATACAGAAAGGCTTATTTCATACATCAGATAGCTTAATGTGTCAGATAGAAAATGAGATAAAAAACAGGGTAGTTGCTAGTTTAGAAGGGAGGTTTAACCCAATTAGAAAGTGAAAGCTTTCCAAGAATGACAGTGATTCCAAATCCCCAGTTTAAGATACTTCTCAGTCTTCACAGTTGCTAAACACCTACTGCTCTAGTTTCAGCAATAAAAAGTACTTTTGATTAGCAAGCTCCAAGTCTCAGAATTTCAGCACTGAGAAGGGAAATAAGACAAAATAATTGTAAGTTCTGCTCTTAGAAACAGCAAATGCTTTCAAACTTCACCACCTATGTTCTACACAATTCATCTTTTCCAAAATGAATTTCCAAGACTGTTCCAAAGCAGCTGCAACTTGTTTCAGAAAGTTCATTAATTATTAGAACAATTCATTCCTGATTTCACACTCCCTCATCTGGCAGGCCAAATGCAAAATTCTTTTACTGATTTAAGACCCAACAAGAAGCTACTTAGACCTTTTCAAGGCTCCATTTATCCATCTGTAAAAAAAAAATACTACAACATCTCTCTTGGAGCTGTCCTTTAGAGATAGGGTTTCAGTTCCTCAGGCTAAGTTTCACAGAAGTGCCAAATGCTAAATAATTAATAAGGTTAAAGCAGAAGTTCTGATTTCTCTGAAGACAGTCTGATCAAATCACAGACAGCATAGGAATGCAATAAGGAGCAATAAAAAATGCAAATCAAACAATTCAGAAGTACTAACAAAATCTCTCTATACCTGCTTTGTTCTCAACAGCAGCTCTTAATATCTTATCACATGGAGTCATGACTCCTAAATCAATAACTCTGTGAAAAGAAAGAAGATGACACAAGATCCTTTTAATAACAACTCAAATTTCTGCTACAGAGCAAATACATTCCTCTCGCTGCAAATAACTGACAAATAAGTAAGATTTAGATTTTTCTTTGTTTCTCTTAAGACCACTTTTGGGAATTTTTATATAGGAAATACCTTTGGGCTTGGTAAAATCTTCAGTAAGAGTTCCAGACAGTTTAATAGTTAACAAAATTCAAGTGTAAGAGGGGTTTTTTTAAAAATAAATTTTTGTGGTTGTACTAAGTCTGGCTGAGATAAGTTAATTTTTCACAGCAGCTGGTATGATGCTTGTTTTAGATATGTGGTCAAAACAATACTGCTAAACTAGAGTTTAACTATTGATGAGCAATGCTTCCTCAGCATTAAGGCCTTTCTGTTTCTTTCACTAGCCCCACAAAGGAATAGATTGTGAGTAGACACAACTAGGCAGATGACTCAAAATAACCAAAGAAATATTCCATGGCACATTAAATCAAACTTAGCAATAAAAAGGGAGAGTAAGGGATTTAGAGGGGTTAGCCATCTTTTGATTAGGAACTGGGTAGGCACCAGTGTATTCTCACATGGGAAGTGTCAAGGGGATTGCCTTGGCATCACTATCTTTTTCTTTCTTCTTCTTCTACTTCTCCTTCAGTTATTAAACACTTTTCTCTACCCACAATTTTTCTTTCTTTCTTTTTTCCTTTTCCCCCTTCCCACAGAGGTTGGCTGGGTGGAAGTGACTGGCTGTGTGGTTCTTAGCCACCTACCAGGCTACCAAGAGCATCAGCATTTCCTAAATTATCTGGATAATACAAAAACATTTTGTGCACATGGTATCTTACATCAGGAATATAAGACGATTCACATCAAAGTTGCTTGCCGTATTAAAGCATATATTTTATGACATTGGACACTGAACTTCCCTTGTTAGCATTTTATTCCTACAAATCCTAGCCATTGCCAAGGTTTTTATTTATTCAGGTAGAGCACCTTAGTCTGCTGATTTCATTCAGCCTCACTCATACTCATGGTGACAGAGAACACTATGGCTTCCTTTCAGCAAGTCTAAATAAAGTTCAAGAAAGTCTGAATCCAATCAACAGAATTTCAAGTGGAAATTAAATAGAATATATTGCACATACATAGCACTGCTACTGACTTCAACACTTTGTGTTTTAAAAAAAAGGAATAATTTTGGCTCTTTTTAGAGAAAATGACAACTCAAAGTCAAAACCAAACTAAAGGAATGGACAACAAGACAGAGTTCCAAAGCTGATTCAACTTTGCAGAATGCCTGGCAGACTCTTGAAAAGAATACCGATGGAAACGTGACCATTCATTCCAACTCTGYTGCCAACACTTCTTCACGTACGCAGGCCAAGAAAGACCTGACTTCTCTTGCAGTTCTACTTTTAAAGTTCAGAAACAGAATGAGAATCTCATCTCTTATTTAATGAAACATACTCCAGCAAGCTTTTAAAACCTCATAGTTAACAAGCAACATGAAAAACACACTGCAAGATTCATTTGAATCTTACAAAGGCTTCATTATTTCCTAGCACAACATAGTACAGCCTACTGCAATTGTTGTATATGATTTCTTCAGCCATTATATGTTTAAAACATCACATTTACTATATTTAACGAAATATAAAACAAATACACAAATTTATGTTCACATCTGTGTTCCAACTGATGTTAAACCTCAGATGACAATTTATTAGGAAAAATAGTATTAAAGGAGGAAGCAATACTCCCTCCTGCATCCCTGTCAAGTAATAGCTGTTGTGATCTGTGCTCCTCATCACAATCTGGGGAATAGAGGATGATTCCCAAGAAACGCCCACCTCTGTACCACCATAGCTGCAGCTAGTCCAAGATACTAATTACTGACCCTTCCACAGTTGTGCTCCCAGCTACCTCATGTCAGTCTTTTACCTGAAGTTGTTGCAGCCCAGAACAACTCCCACAATGTTCTTGCCAATATCATGTACATCTCCCTTCACAGTTGCCAGTATTATTGTACCCTGGTAAGGATCCTGGAAGTTCAAGAAATAACAAGAGTTAAATTACTCAGAAACCTTGGTATGTTTGAACACCTCTTTCAACAAGGCACTCCTAATCCATGACCCAGACTCCTATAATAGCACAAAAAATAACTGCAAAGGGTAGTAGAGATAATACAGTAAATATTAAAAACTATCTTAAAATATTCAGGTAATAGAAACTTGCACATGAAGCATTCTTACAAAATGCAGGGATAATATTCAAAAATATGAGCTTAAAAAAAAACAAAATAGCAGATAAAACAATTTCAGATCTGGACAGCATTTTTTTTGCAGTACAATAACTGAACTCCTAAGGTACCTCTGCTCCAAATACACTTTACCAATAAAGAGAGTAAATATTTAGAACAAAAGGGTATGAATACTTGTAATTACATGTCTTTGATGCAATGCTAAGAACAACGAGAAATTTGTAAAATTAGAAGGAAAACTAGAAGAATTAGCAAAAGCAGAAGAGGCTAGGTTTTATGCAACACAAATAGCAAGGGAGTTTTCAGTACAATTAACAGGCTACTTCACACTATCCAAACTGAACAAACAGGGTAGAAGAAGGATCTCCTTGAAGAAGGGAAGCTGTTCTGTCACAAAGAGGTCCTAGGCTAGATGGCATTGAGCCTGACAAATGGTGCTACCAGCAGCGCAACAGTGGAACTTCCCACAGCAGCTCTCCACCAGGACACAGGACTCGGCAATACCTTTTTAATTGTATAATCACTGTCATCATTTGGAACAGCTCCAGGCTACAACAGGAGTATGTCTGAGTTGCTGCAGTGTCAGGTGCCAGTAAGCAACTACATTAATTGCACAGAATATAAACAAAGTGGAAACCTGAGCATATTGTATGCAAAACTACAACGTATTTTTCCAGACAGCATCTCATCTTCACACATGGCAGAACTGGATGACTGAATCTTCCTATGAAGTGTGTCATATTTTCTAGACAGATAGAATAGTTCACTACTTCATGAACCTACACTGTTTCTGTAGATGCAATATTATGGGTCAAAAAGTCTTTATATGTTACTAAGAGTGATATTAATATTTCTATGGTTCCAACACATTTGTTGAATAAAATCCCTGGATCCCCACCAATGTTGCTGTTTACTAAAATCTAGTATCTTCCCAGTGCTCCTGTTTTGCAGAAGGTCAGAGAACAGAGGAAACAAAACACAACTCTGTAAGTCAGCCATCTCAGTACATCAACAGAAGATTTTGCACATTTGAAAACATACTGCTGAAATGCAAGAGAAAAATGGGGGAAGAGATTAATCAAGGACTGGGAGAAGAACAAAACGTGCTGCCTCACATTGTATTTTACCTTATAATTACTGATGGTTTAATTAGTGATTGATACACAAATTTTTTTTTAAAAAAATTGAATTTGCTGGATTTGCACATAARAAAAAGAAAAACCTTTGCTGGGCAGAACAGAACATGGGCCATAACAAATACCATTTTAAATAAACTATTTCAACATATTTAAACATATATCAATGGTCTTAAGCAAGGAGGTCCTCAAGTTCTGGGCATACATCCAAAAGCCTTTTTTTCCCATCTTGATAGACATCCACAGCCACAGCTATTTATTCCCAAATGTAACTATCAACACTTTGCATTTCCTGTCAGCCTGTTACTAAAACTGTCCTGGAGGGTACACTGGCCTGGGTAATATCAGACAGATCAGTTACCAGAGTCTGCAAATCGTTTTCCTTCAAGTCAACATATTTTGGGAATAGATGCAGCTGCTTTATCTCTTTCATTGAGTCTCTATACTATGACAATATGTTTTTTTAAGCATAAGGCACTACATTCCTTGCCCAGCAGGAGTTAGAAGAAGCAGGATGACAGAGCCCTGCATTTCCCTCCTGCTCTCTCCTCAGCTACACAGAACATCTCTCTTCAACAGTGTTTGTTAACTTTTCTAGAACCTCTAAAATTTCACTTCACTTCTTTTTAGCGAGAGAATGAAGTGCCCGAGGCTTCACAGAAGATCCTAACCTACTGCTCATGCAATCAATGGGGCAGTGATTTTGAATTACTTCAAGCAGTACCTGAACAAAACAGAAGGTGCCAAATACCAGCACTGTCATCTGAATTAGGAGAACAGCATAAGCTGGAGGGAGATGACAGAGAAAGGTGACTTGTGACAGCCAGAAACAGATCTGCTTCAGATACAGGAAAGAACACACCTTCACATCCAGAGAGAGCATGGGAGAAGAGATGAGGCATTCTCCTTCCATTAAGATCAGTTAGGTTTAATTATCAGGCCACTTTTCTTTCCAAATTATTTGCTGTATTTGTTACATTTATGCTGGACAATCACACGAGATGCACAGCAAATACAAAGATACCTTGTAAGAAGATTTCAAGTCAAGAATTAGGAACTAATAAAAAACCCACAGAAGGGAAGCCAAAGTAAATACACAATTGTCACAGTTCAGAGAAATTCTGTTATTCTTCCTTATTTGTGTGTTAAATATCAGATTCTGATCATAGCTATTGTCTCTGAAAACTCATGAAGACAAGGTAAGGTTCCACAGGATTAAATACACATCAAACCTAAATTTGATAGTCAAAGACAAGAGAAAAAAATACTTAACAACCAAAATTGTAAGCACCTATCATATTAAAAACATAGCAGGACATAGCAGACAAGAATATTTAAAATGGGATTCTGTCCAATTCATCTGAACTCTCTTTTCTATTGAATAGAATCTTGTCAGTTTGGAGAAACAAGAGACATCCTATATCTGCCTTTTCTGATGCCGCTATCACATAGACCATTTACCAAATTTGGAAGCAATTACTTCAAGTATATTCCCAGGTAGCTGATAAAACTATCCCCAGGCATCACCAGCTGTTGGCTGTGAATCAGGAAATGTTATGAAGGAGAGGCCCACAAGGATATCAAAATCATTGATTATTTTAAAATGTATATATTTTACATATTAGATAAAAAATAGTTTTCAGAAATCCAAGGAAAAATACACATATGAGAAGGCAACTATATTCAGACCCTATTTTCTTCTCCCTTGCAAGCTGGTGATAGCTACACACGCAATGACCATACTATTCTATCATAACAAGGTCTTGCAGTCATGATATATGAAGAAAAAGGATGAAAAAAATTTGTTTGTTTAGCTGGAAGAATGATCAGGTTTATGGCAAAGGGAAGAGCTGAATAAAGAGAAACATGGTGAAAGGTTTTGAACATGCAAAAGAGAATTACAGAGTTCACCAAGGGTAGACATATTAGAAGCAAATGACAAAGGCTGCTATAAAGCCAGAATTACCATGAATAATAACACCAGAATTAAATGCCTATAAAAATACAAGAAATTAGTTACATTGGTATAAAGGGCCTATGAAGGTTTACAGACATCATTTAGGACAATCTGTAACAACAACTTAGGCACACACCAAGCAGAGATCCACAAACTCTGCATTTATGTATTTCAAACCTACTTCAAATTATACCAAGATTGTCAGTTTCTGCATGACCGCATCAACTCTCCAGCATGGAAATGTAAATAGCAACAAATAATTCCTTTATTTGTCATAGCATGCTATGTAAGAATTACAGCACTAAGGACTGTATCTTGCCTCTTCCTCAACACTGCCTCGCTTGGCTCTCCTTTCCTCTCTTTCTTTTTCCATATAGGGAATAAGGTGGGCAACTGCTTTCTTCATAACTCGAGCAGACTTTATCACCTGCACAGAAAAAAGGTGGGGGCAGATTAAACAATAAAGACAAAGTATAGGAATAACCTCAGTTTTCCTTTAGCTTTCTCATTCAGGCAATAAATGAAACTTTATTTGAAGATCCAGGTTCCAGTTTTCAGATCAGTCTGTGGCAGCAGGCTTCTGGCCTTACTGACACAAGGGTCTATACACAACACTTCCTTCCACAGTGCAGCCCCCCCAGACCACTCACAACACAGCTAAAAGCTACAGATGGGCCCAGACTAGGAAGGTGCTAAACACAGTAAATTATATTTGGGCCTTTTTTCTTTCTTGAGCTTTTTCATTAACTCAGATTTAAAACTACATTTCAAACACAGCAAAAAGACTCAGGAAGAACAGAAACAAACATGTAATTATACACAAAGGAAGTCAAGTTCCAAAGTAAAGTAAGAAATGGCTGCTTCTCAGGAGTATCCGAATTTTTACAATTCCTGTGCTGCATCTGAAAAAGAACACCAGCCAGTATAGAATGTTTTTGCTACATTTTATAACGCTAGTTTTTGTAAAATAGAAAAATATTTTCTCATTACCTGAGGCAAAAACATCTTTCCAGCACCAAAAAGATCACCAACAATTTTCATGCCATTCATCAAAGGCCCCTCAATTACATTTAAAGGTCTAGGATATTTTTCCTGATTTAATCTTGCTTCTTCTGTATCTGCAGTGACATGCTTCTCAATGCCCTGAGAAAAAAAAAATGAGAAGCTTTTATCTTGCTAGAAATGCTATTTTTAGTTAGTTGCCTTCTCTCCAGAAAAACCCTACAATGAAAGTACAAATAGATACTGTTACAGTCTTTAAAAATACTTCAAATGTGTATTGAAAACAGGCTTTCTTAGGAATCAAAACACCACAGATCTTAGGTGGATAAAGTTAATCACAGCACATCCCCAGTATTAACAAATTTATTCATTTTTCTTAACTATCTAATAAGAAAAACCCAACACTTAAAGGTTGCTTCCACAGTACAAGTGACACTCAGTTCAGTACTATTAAAGGACCAACTACAGCCCTAGGAGTAAAAAGAGTGTGTTCCAAAGTAAAAGCAGTATGTTTCTACCAACACTAGTGGAATAAAATATTTAGGGTCAAAGACTTCAGCTTCTGAAGTTTAAAGACAAACCTCAACAGTTTTGTCTGTAACTGAAGTTAAATAAATCAGTTGCATTTATTATTCATTATTAATTAACAGCTTGTGAAAAAATGGCAGCAGAAGAAGTTTTAAAGCCAAATACATCCCTTAAAGTCTGAGCTGAGATCATGCCTCTGAGAGCTGATGGGTAGGACAGTTTTCTGAACAGATTCACCTTTATGAGAGCATATTCCAGCCTTTCCTCCACGGAGCTTTTACGCCACTCATCGGACTGTACAACTTTTTTTCCACCTTGAGCATGATTCTGAAAAGGAAAGACATCCATAGGAGCTTGCAAGCATAAGTTCTATTATGGGCTTCACTTTTAAAATAATTAAGATATTTCCAAGTACTAACTCATAAAATAATTTTAGACTATTCAAAAGGTTATTTATATGCAGGCAAATGATGTTGCAAATACCTGTAATGTACTACAGGCAGTCAGGGAATCTACACACCAACAGGTACATACCTTGGCGAAAATGCAAACAAAATAATTAAAAGAAAAAGAAGAGAGACCAGTTTGACGATTTTTATGCTCATAAAATTGATGACATGACTAATCCTCAGGGTGTCACTTCTGGGAACATAATTTAAATTGATTCCTGGCCCACACACTACATTTTAAAATTCTAATTGATTTGGCACTAATTTAGTTTCTGCTGGAATAGGCTATGTTGTCCCATATCACAAACAAGTTTTCAATCAGGCAGCCTAAAAAACTACTATTTGTCATGCACATAGACTGTTCCAAACTACCCCATATCCTCTGTCTCATGCTTATACTCTCTTTGGCTATGAACATAGATGCCAAAGGGGCTTCAGAGTGCAACAAAGTTCATGAGCACCCACACCAGGAAGGCTTGTGGAAGAGCACCCTATCCATTAATTCAGCCATCACACTTCAGGCAAGTTATTTCTTTTCCTCATTTAGTTATTGGATATAGTCTGACATCTTTCAAGTCTTATGAGCCTCTCAGACTTTTGAGTGCTCATCAGAAAGTGTTTAAAGATAAAGCCATGGAAATAAAATCTCACTCATAGGAACAGAAACCAGAACAAGCTTTCACTCACATTTATAGAAACATTAGCTAACTCCACAGCTTCTTGCTGTCTATCTTATTTCCCTCATATGTCTAGTAGGTAAAAATGAATGAAAGAAGGAATAAAATGTTGCCCCATTCTTAGTTATATTAAAAACCTGACTGAACATGTCCCTGAGCAACCTGATCTTGGCTGGCCCTGTTTTGAGGAGGGGGGTTGTAGTAGACATCTCCAGAGAACCCTTTCCACCTCAGGAATCATTTTATSTGATTGACTGAAATGGTACCCAAGTGCTCCTCAACCTCTGGCCGACACTTTAACAAGGAAACCATTCCAAGTTAAAAATAACCCATGACACTGTAGGGTGGACATGCAGCGACAACAGTGTCAAACACTGTATGAGATCTTTACAATCAGGATGGCTATACTGCATGCTGAGAATGAAAAAAACCTGCCTTTGGAAGCACAACTCCCACTGCCCTAAACGGCACGAAGTTTCAGTTTGAGACTGTCTGCAGCTATATACTTCATGGAAAATAGTTTTTATTCTCAAACTTCAAATGAAGACCGATTCCCTAAAACTGCAAGTATTAAGTTCCTCTTTTTTTGCTACTGGACTATTTTACTCCCACAATAAAACTACCATCACAAATCAAAGCAGAGATTCCAACAACGGCTTCCCTAGGTCTTACAGCCCTAGGACTCATCATCCACTTTCATTTCTACTTTTAATATTCCATTTAAAATCATATTCAGCCTTCTGCAGAAATACTGCTCAAGTATTCCCTAATTCCCTTTTTTTCCCTTCCTCTTAAAGCAAACTTGAATACCCCAATGGTGCAACTCGGCTTAAACAGACAAGATCACTTCCAGGTGAACTGCTTGAACAAGAGCACCATCTAAAATAGACTAAGCACAAGCGATGAAGAGAGTCTTCAACTAGTTGCCACTGTTACTATACAGCACCATCACAGGGCAAAATACAAACCAAATCAAGCTCTGCACAGAAATATTACCTCCAGGAGCTACAAAATAGACATGCAAATCTTCTTGTGCACATCTAAAAGCCAAAGAGATTTTTTCCTGCATTTCTGTTCAGAATAGGATGTCATCAGTTCTCTCACAGTCAATGTGTAATCATTGTCCTTAATCGACACCATCATTACATCTCAAAAACAGTAAATAGCTGATCCTTACCCTTGACATGTCACATGAAATGGAAGTCTATGGCACAGCCACAAAACATAAGCAACTATTTCACCTTTTACGTATACTCCAAGCAAACCATTACTGTCAGAGAGGTTTATTCTTTGTCTCCCACAGTGTACTTACCAGCTAAGTTCCAGCAGCAAGATTAGCTTAGTTTGGGTTGGCCTTTTCTGGTTTTTGTTCGGGTTTTTTTGTTGGTTTGTGAGGGTTTTCTTTGGGGAAAGTTAGTTTGGGATTTTTGCTTATCATTTGGGGGTTGCTTTTTATTCTTTAGAGAATAACTGCAGGTTGGTCTCCTGAAGCATATGAAGAACTCTGGCATAGGATCTTCCATGGCATGAAACTGGAGAGGCTTGATCTATCAGAGATTGCTCATTTTATTCTGTGTCAATAACTGAACTTGTAGTATCATTAGTAAACTCTTATACCTACATGCAACTTACAGGCTGTTTCACCTATCACCTACAGGGAGGTGGTGAGGCCCAGATGCCAAGCTAATTACTATTTTAAGCTTAAAACTGGACATTACCTGAGCATAATGTAGAAGTTTCTCTGTTGCATCAGGATCTTTATTCCAGATTAGATTCTCACACAGCTGTAGCAATTCCTTGTGGATATCATCATACACAGGCAGATTTCCAGCATTCACAATTCCCATGTCCATGCCATACTGAAAAAACCCACACAGAATCCCCCAGACAAGGCTGTCAGACACAGCACTACACATCTGCCAAGTGCAAACATATGGAAGCCAAAAGCACGTCATACTTTAATTGCATGGTACAGGAAAACTCCATGCATTGCTTCTCGAATGGCATCCATTCCTCGAAAGGAGAAAGACAGATTGGAAAGACCTCCACTTATCCTGGCTCCTGGCAGTGTTTCCTATAGGAAGTGCACAGAGATTAGAGAAATGCTTTCCAAAAAGGAAATCTAAGTAAAGCATTCAGTTCATAAAACTGTTAGCCCCAGAGCTCAGTGCATTGGCTGTGCATCCTTTCTCTTTTCCCTGTTCTAGATCCTTCTAGTTACTGAAATTTGTAACAAGCAATTCAAATCTCTACAAGAAAAGACAAAAGTAAAGGAAAGCAGCGACCATGGTTTCCATTGTCACCGGTGCTATTCTGAACACATCAGTCCTCCCACTGCAGCATTCTGTACTTTCTCCATGCAAACCTACTTTTGGTTCTTCCTGACCCCACTCCTCTGGAAACAGGAGCATCCATGCCCTACTTGTATGTATCAGGAGCAGACTGCAGCTGAGCAGCTAAACTCAAGGGTGCAGTCCCAATTCCAGGAGCCCTGTGGTGACAAAACAGCCTGTGGGGTGTTCAAGCCCCAGACTGCTACTGACAGAGCATCTCCGCATCTATCAAGATGTCTTGTGAAAATACAACATGTTCATCACTGCTGTAACTTCTTTTCACCCATTTTGGTTACTTAAAAAGTCAGGTTACTGCACAAATCCCTTCCACAGAAGCAGGAATTTTATTTTTAAAAAGGCAGCTTTTTCCATACTTTTAAAGAGGTCTGTTCAGCTCCCACATGTGATAATTACCTCATTTAATTAAGGTAGTCTATTTACAGTACAGAAAATGGATTGAAATGTAATTATAGAACAATTTGAAGTTGTTTTACTGGAAATACAGCAATATTGAGGGGTGGTTGGACTTCAGGGGAGTAGTCCTCACTAGGCTAAAATGTGTAACATTTTTCAGTATTGTTTTGTTGCTGCTGTTTGAGGGGGGTGGGCTGGTTTTCTCTTTTATGGAGGTTAGGGTTTTAAGTATTCTCAGCAATATACTTCAAGTTAAAATAAACTTACAACTCACTTTTATGGTTTTAGTAGCATTGATAAAATTTATGGCATAAAGGTTATGTTCTTCCATTCCAGTTCCTATGGTCAAAATATTAGGGTCAAATATTATATCACTTGGATTGAAGTGCACTTTTTCCACAAGGAGATGATAAGCTCTGGAACAGATTGCAATCTTGGTTTCTGTTTCTGTTGCCTAGTGAAGAAGAAGAATTCTGACATGAAACTTATAGACCACACAAAAAATAAACTCTCCAGAAATAATTTACAGCTCCAGTGATTCAAGATGAGGAATCTGAACATAGCAAATATAAGAAAAGGATTATACATAAGAATATTGTATAAAAAATATTACCACCTTTATTCCTGGAGTTTTGACTCAGCTCATTAAAAAAAAAAAAAATCTCACTGCCCAATGTTTCATCACCCGATGTAAAGCTTAATATGTGGTTTTCAACATAACTAAATTAATTCACAAAGCTTTTACTCTCATGCAAAACAGTTTCTGAACTAAAAATATCTTTTATGAAGGAAGGAACATCTCAGCATGTCTGAATAACGAGAGACACTGTTACTGACAGCTCCACTTAGATGAGTACATGGATTCCTCAAAATTTTAAGCAGCACTAGTAATGCTTACAAATCAGGGTCAAAACTACTGCTAAGGTTATATAGACCTCCTATGAAACAACTGTGTCAACAAAACAACTTTGTCTTGAAAAAGAGCAAGAAAGCCTTGCACTTCAGAAGAAAAACACTTCTCCTTTAAAGTGACACTCACCTGCCCCATTTCATCAAAAGCCATAACAACCACAGCTGCTCCATATAATTTAATTTTCCTTGCTTTCTGCAAAAAGTCTTCCTCACCTTCCTTCAGACTGATGCTGTTTACAATGCATTTCCCTTGGCAACATTTCAAACCTGCTTCGATCACTGAAAAATTTGAGGAGTCAATGCATAATGGCACCTGTAAATAACAGAGAAGCAAGCCAGAAGAACAAACAAAAGTTATGAATTACAATTCTACATGCTGTTTGCCCATTTGGACTTAAAAATGCACACAACATTAATCAGCATTTATGAATAAAAGTTTCCACATGACATTCATAGATTCACTTTGCTTGAAGTGCAAAATTCAAATTTAACTCAAGAGTTTTCATGGCAGCTCCATCACACACCATATAGAGATCTCTACTTCTCTCTGTATTATCTGGCATTTCTGATTTAGATGCCCATTTTTAGAAAATGCACATTGCAGAACTATCTTTTAAAGCCATCCTATATCTATAGCAACTTGGAGTTTGTGGAAAGCAATATGGTTATGCACTGCCAACATATATATTATGGCTCATAACAGTTGCAAAATGAATCTGCATTCAGCTTTTCTAGCCTGTCAAAAGAATTGGCATATATTCATGTGAAAACAGACAGAGAAAATCAAAGTCTCTGTTTCACCTAAAGGCCTTCCCTATTATAGTATCACTTCCTCTTAGGGGCCAACTACATCTGCGTAAGCACATAAACTGGTTACTACATGAAACAGTAGTAACATGCATCTTCTGAATGCAATTTACTGGTCAGTAACATGTTCTTCATTGTGATTCAAATTACAACCTTTGCAATATCAGGTTCCGAAGATATCAAGTTGCAAAATCTGGTCATTGCAGTGGAGCCATCCAACATCCCATCATCCATATTTATGTCAAGAATCTGGGCCCCCATCTCAACTTGCAATTTGGCTACACTCATGGCTTCCTAAAGAAGAAAGTTAAAACCCAAAACAACAGTGAGAAAAAAAAATCCTAGTTATTCTCAGAATAACATTTCACTTCTCCACACTAAGGAATTAAAAAATTCGTAAGACATCCTCTAAGAAAATAAGGAAATGGTCCATGATGTACAACAATTCATAACAGCTGCTAATATATGACAACCTATAATTAATTTGTTCACAGAACATGACATCAGAGACCTGATGTGCTGATATCATCACCAGCTGTAGAGAGCTGGTCATATACTTAATTGAATGATTTAAGATTTGCATGGTAACAAGGATTTCTGACTGCACATGATTACAGGAAAACACAGTCCCTGTGATGGTATGAAATAAGGGTCTTGCATCACAAGCTCCAGGGTTTTATAACATAGGGTACTAAATTTTAAAAGGCTGTTCAGTRTTTTTGACGCTGCAGAATAATCACAAGTGTTAAGAAGGAAAACTAAAGCTTTTCCCCCTAAATAAAATAGGAGGAACTATTTAGCCTACATAAATATCTGAACACCCATGTCTTTTCGCTTACTATTTTTTGTCATTTCTGCAGAATCCCTAGCAACCTCTGTTTAAAGTTCTCTTCATTTAATAGGCCTAACCTGCTTCATGACTTCAACAAGCTTAAGAGTCAGACTTCCAAAAATACAAACTGAGGCTTTAATTTTGATTTGATGCAACATCAGAGCATACTATGGAGTAGAGTCTCAGCTCCCAAGTCATTCTACTATTTGTGTCAATGTTACAGTATCAATTTACACCAGTAAAGAATGAGTCTTCAGGCCTTCATTTCCACCCTGCAGTGGTTTCAAGATAGTAATTACCTTCTATGCATCTTTTTCTGTACCAAAGCTCATGCAACATGCTGGAGTCAGAGACCAATGCAGGTAATAATTAGATGTACCCATAATGCTGACCACCACTGGGGAAGGGAAGGAAAGGAGAGAGAGCAAGAGCTGCACAGTGCAATAACCCATCCCAAGTCAGATGTACCTCGTATCTTGAAAGAGGGAATTATACCCACCTTCTTTACCCCCTTCTCTGTAAATCAACCCCTAGAAGCAGCACAGACTAGGACATTTTCTAAACCATCACCAGCTGTATAACTAGTATTTTTTAAGACGTCCTTGTATAGCCATTCTCACAAAGTTATTAGTAACTGCAGAGCAGAGAAACGAAGAACAGTGAAAAAGTAAATTCTCCACATTTTCTTACTCTTTTAGCTGGTGTAGAATAGCGCTTTGTGCCAGCAAAACAAACAATAACAGTGTAATGGAGTAATGGAAAATCTAATCATCAACTATAAAGATTATTGTTAAAATGTATACTTCATAGTTGCCTGCCATGATGAGTTTAGCAAACTTCCGTGATCCTGCAACATTGCAGCGTTCACCAATATTAACGAAGTTGGTATACGGCCCAATCCTGAATGGCTCCAGACCTTAAAAAGATATTTTTGAACATACTTGTTAAAACAGAAAAGAAAAAACTGTGTAAAAAAGACAAAATCTCTTTTCTAAGCTGTAAAATAAATGTGTCTCTCTAAGAATAGTGATTTCTCAGCATGTCAGTGCTCTAATGAGTAACTAGCAGAGCAATGCAATGAAACAACTTCCAGTACACACACCAAATCTTTCTGTTCTTCCTCAATGACAGTCAATAATTCACCTGACTCTCAAAAAGTAACAGCCAATTTTTCTAATAAGGAAAAGTGAAGCTATGATTCTCTGAACATCTGTGTATATGCACAAACACACCTTCTCTCAGCTTTCTACAATGTTACATCGTGACACTGTAAGAGAAGCACCAGCCCACTGAATTGACTGACCAACAAGGGTAGCTCTTAACTACATACCCTAGTTTAGAAACAAGGCTAGTTAGACCCTTAAGTAGCAGACAGTGCAGAGGCAAACAAACTCTACATCAGAATCAAATAAGCTAAAGCATGACATCACAGGCCAACCATGATTTATTTTAATTACGCTGAACTCATTTGACCTAAGGTTAAAATGCCAGACTGAAAAGATGTTTTACTGTTTTATTTGGATACAGGGCTCAAAGGCGTAAGAGAGTCCCTGAGTGTGCAATACACAGATCTAAACTTTGCTAAAAGAAAATGTGGTCTAGACCTGGATATACTGCTCGAATCCAGTCCCAGTATGACTGAATCAACATATGAGGTGAGACAGGGCAGCCCTCTCACAGCATGCACAAAAGGGTCTCATCCCAGCTCTGCCAGTAACTGTAGCCCAGTTACCTGGTCTCCCTGTACTTGACTTTTCTCTGTTGTCAAGGGAAGATACTCCACCATTACAACATGCCTGAGACTTGCAGAGTAAATATGCTGGCTGATTATATTACACAAGATGGCAACAAAAATATTCTACTACTCCTTTAGCCAAAGTAGTAAGATTTAGACCTGGCTACACATCCATAAGCTTGCTGAATGAGATATGGACATTCTGGTCAGCAGAAAACAGCCAATAAATTTATAAAGGAAACTCACATTAGTTATGAAGCTCAAACTGTTACAACTCCACTTTACCTGACAGCAGCATGTATCCTTGAGAGAGAGAAGGTGGAACACGAGGCTTACAAAACTTCACAGCTTCGGCAATTTTTCTGAGTTACAGAAAAAAAAAAGTAAAGTTTTCAATAAAAATTAAATTACTCCAGACAAGACTGAAACAGAATATACTAGAGATATACCTGTGTTTCCAATTTAGCCCTGTAGAGACAAGACTAATTAGATAGTTTTACTTTTAGAGGCCAAAGACAAAAACATACTTCTGGAACATCCTAACATAGCTATTTTCAGGTAATGTACAAGGCTGAAGGTTTTCCAAATACAGAATGAGATACTGTACCAATGGGATACTTGTAGGATTTCAGAATCAGTCCTCAACCACACTGACTCTTATATTCAGGACTTGCTGAGCTGAGCAATTGCTGATGATTGGAAAACCAAACCAAAACAAAACCAAACAGACCACACAAAAAAAGAAAAAAAACAAACAAAAACAAACAAAAAAAAAGCCAAACAAAAACCAACCAAGAAACCCAGCTCAAACCAACAAAAAACCCCAACCAAAAATACAAACACATAAAACCACCAAAAAACCCCAACTAAAAAGTACCCAAAAAAGCCCCACACACATCCCCCCCCCCTAAAAAAAAAACCCAAACAACAGCAACAAAAACAAAAACAAAACAACAACCAAAGAAACCCAAAAACCCCAAGGGACATACATTGCTCTGTACTGAGGCCCATTTCTCAGATGTCAAAATGACTCATACTGTTCACACTCACTTTCTTTTCACTTCAGGAAGGAGTGACACACAGTGTCCTCTACATGTTTACATGTCACCTCCTCCTAGTTTGTATCAGGATAAAAATTAATCACAACAGCCATTTCTTTTTCGAGTTTAAGTGGAAAAAGGAGGTTTTCTCAGTGACCTATTTGCAGTGATAAGGATTTCAAATGCTCCTTCTGACTAGTCAGGACTGGGACAAGCTGCACAGCATTCCTAGAACTTCTGTTCAGGCATTTCCCCAAGACACATACACACACCATCCTTCTTCTACCATCAAAAGGAAATCTTAAGTTCCATCTTGTGGTTAAGACTGCCAAAAAGAGAAAGAACACACAGCACAATAAAGCAGATATGGGAAGTCTATTCCATCCTTCAGTAAAGGGGAAGAAGTAATTCCAAAACAATTTTAGATTACAAAACCACAGTGGTATAATCCTTGTTTGAATCATAGCTCTACTCATTCTTCATGATACAGTTATCAAAGCCAGGTCATTTGCACTTCATATATTGCTGCTAGTGGCATTCAACTGATCCACTTTTTCAGGTAACACTAAGACAAGCCATACAATATTGCTCCAGAGATGCAGCACTCAAATTTACTTCACAGTCCACCAGAGCTGCAGCACAGGAAGTACCTGATATGTGCTGGTGTAGTACCACAGCAACCTCCAACTATGTTGACCAAACCATCCAAAGCAAAATTCTGTAAAAGGAAGGGATATTTTGTTCCAAGTTAATAAAGCTATGTTTTTTCCTCTCTCTCTCTCTATATATATATATTTAATTATTTCTCTCCATATGTTAAACAATTCAGGGAGATCACAAGAAAAACACTAAATTAAAAAAGCAATTAGCACTATCTTCTCTTTAGGATTTGTTTTTTTGTTTTGAGACATGGATTCTCAAGGCTAACCAGCAATTTCAACACCTAATTTCAAGAAACTACATTTGAAACTGGCCTATTTTATACTGAAGCCCCAGATGAAAATATAAATGAGTATCAAAGACTAGTAATACAACAATAGAAAAGGGCAATAACATGCAGCAAATATTGTGTTCTTTTTGACATACTGCAGCTTCAGGCACACAGTCTGTCTTGCACAGAGCCAGTGGCAGGTGGAAGGACAGCCTGCACTGAATCACTACCAGCCATCAGTATTTTCTGTACACACAACTCTATAAAACTGTGCCAAGTTCATAAACATCCCTCAGTTTCTTAAACAATTCCCAAATGTAACAGTAAGAACACAGGTGTGCAAGAGTAATATTCACAGATCAAGTGGCAGGAAGCCTTAGCTTAGCACCTAGAAGTAATTATGGCTTTCAGAGTTTCCTGAGTAGTTTTCCTAATGTAATACCTCGAATCACTATCGTTTAGCAAATTTTCTATAAACAATCTAAATGACATGTAGAGCCGCACAAAGGAAAAAAAAAAGCCAACCCCAGTATTCTAACAAATATGCACAGAATACAAGCAAAGAGATCTTGTCTACCAGTGCATCAGATGTGATATTAAAAAAGTAGTATTTTTATACCTTTATATGCTTGGCAGTCAATTCTGGAGTTTCATCATAACCACCAAAAGTATTGGGGAGACCTTGAAACATAATTTTTTTACAATTATTACATTTTTTAAAGCCCAAAAGAACAGAATTAAATGCCGTAACAGGCACATTTAAAGCAGCTGCAATTGTATGAAGACTAAAATGCCTCATCATCCTTGCAATCACTACTCAGCAGATTATTAATTACACAGGAAAGCATTCTGGATTAATTGTTACAGAACTAACAACAGTTACTTCCAGCAGTATAAAATATCCTTACTCTCTTTTTAATAGTAAAACCAAAACATCTTTTTAAGCTACTTCAACTTTTTACTGCTAATGAGATGGGAAACGTTAGCTACATTTCATGTGCCTGTAAGCATAGGAACATGTGCACCAACACACCTGCGTTGGGGTAACAGATGATGTAGGCTGTTGTACATTTTCCAATTGTTTCAATGAATGGACGCATTTCAACTGCCCCTAAAGCACAATTTAAGCCAATACTGGAAAATAAATTTTCAAAAATTATGTTGAAGTAAAAACACACGAAACAGACGAATGTTAGTGCTGGCAACTAGCTAACTCCCGCAATCATCTAAAACAAAACCAATCTGATCTCCAATTTCTGTAATCATCATCATCAATACAGCAAGAACGTGCAAAAGGAGAACAATCAGATGGAATAAAAGCACATGAGGGAAGGGGGCTGGACTGAATTGAACTGGGAACAACAAATCGAGATTTCATTTCATAATGCAGGAGGAAAGTAGCAGCATTTTGACAGCAATTGCAGCAACATGATGGCTCTGTATTTTCTAGGTAAGAGAGAGAATAAGTGGAATGAGAATGACAGATTAGAAAGGAGTCTTGTGCTACAGGAAGAGGTATGAAAAAAGGTTGAAAAGGCAAGACCTGCTTCAAGTTGCTAACTCATCATTTTCTTTACAAATTATACATAAATTATATCAACTTTGGAAGAGACCAAATGCCTCCTACAAGATGCCTCAACACAGCACTAAGCTTGGGCAACTTCTGTACCATAGTACCCAAGACAGCACTACAGCTGTCAAGAAGAACTTACTTGAATAAGTTTCTAAACAATTTTACCAGCATATGAGGTACAAACACATTTTCTTTCATTCAATGACAGATGCATAAATGAGACTTGCACTAAAACGATTTACATTTACATCAAATAAAGAAATTTCTCTCTCAGGAAGTATGTAAGTGAGCCATTACACATCTTTTCTGATCTTTCTGCACCATTGAGAAACCACATTGTGAGCACTGTGACATTCGGAAGGTGTCCATACTGCTGCTGGAAGAGCAAGATGTAAAAAAAGCTTTCTCCTTCCCTGGAATAACAGCCTCAGAGAGGATGAAAGCTAACCCACTCAAACAGGGAAACACCCACATCCCCAACTAACTAAGCTACAGAGGCAGTAGAACTAATTAAGTGCTGGTACGCCCACTTAAGTTTCACAGAGATCAAAAGCAAAAAACCCCTGCACAGAACTGGGAGCATAAAGTGATTTTTGATTTTTCTCCTGTTTTCAATGAGTAGGCAGAGCCTTGGTAACTTCACAAGTAGTAGCAATAAATGCTAGCAGTCCAACTGCTTGGTGAACAGGATGAAAAATTGTAGAAATCTGAGCGGCTCACAGCAACACCCAAACCCAGGGTACTGAATATGACAGTCATAGACCAAGATCAAATAAGACACAAATCCCTCCTTCCAATAAATTAGGGATGAGGCAGCTGAGGGTTTTGTTGGTTTTTTGTTTTGAGTCTTTTGAGGGGAGGTATTTTTTAAGTGGGGAGGGTATATATGTTTGGGTTTTTTAAACAGCCAGCTCTACCTTCAAAGTGCTTTCTCTAATACATCTCGTACTAGCCAGCAAAATTTGATAATAACCCTTTTATTCTCATTTTAAGATTCAGTGTTTACATATCTTTAAATCCATCGCACAGATCCCCTGGATACAAAGCCCAAGGAATACACAGTTCATTACAGCAATGATGTTCTGAATTTATGTCAAGGTGTGGGCTCATCCCTCAGGATTTTCATAGCAAATCAAGATAAGAATGGTTACCAAGACTGTCCTTATCAAATGCAGACAAGTACACTATATTTCCTACCCTTAAGTAATTTGATTTACAAGCTTCCAGCTCATATTCCCCACACACCCATCTGCCTGAATTATTACCCATTACAGGGGTTGCTGACAAGTAGATTTATGAGCCTGGGACAATCCAAGCATTAGCTGTGTCAGAGCTGCAGCACAAACATGCACATTCATTCAGAAACAAAAAGTAGCTTCTGTGGCCATTATCATTTTCTCACAACATTCAACACCATGCAAGAAAACATTTGAGAACAGCAAACTGCTAACCATGCCTTAAAAGCCGGTAGCCTTGAGCCAGATTGCTGATATTCTGTCACTGCTACCCTAGTGTAATAACCATCACCCTGCATCTTAAATTTTACCTCCCTCCATTATTCATTTCTCCACAGCAGTCATACATAAACTCCTGCAAAATATAAGGCTGCAAAGCACCCTTGGGACCAGAACAAAATCCACACTATGGCCCAAAACTCAGTATCTGTCTTCTTAACGCCACCATGGTAGAAACAATCACAGGATCTGAAGCTACACATCTGAGCACCTTTCATGGCAAGCAGCTTGCCACACATCTTTCAGCATTAATCCCAGTTCATTAGTTTCTCAGCTACCACCGCCATCAACCAGACACAAAGCACACTTTTAAGGGTGGGCTCCAACCAAACTGAATTAAGTATGACACATCACCTTAATCAGGGCATACACAACCCAAACAGAAACATGTGAACACATACAACATGATTCCTAGGATACTACCATTAATTGGCTTTTTCACAATCTTGAAGCCACTTTGCACCAATTTGGCCACAGAAATAACACTAAATGCAATCCGTTCCAAATAAAACCATTCTGCTACAGTGCTGTACAGTAGCCTTTTCACAAATGAGAAACTGGCCCTAAGAATTCAGACCCATAGGACAGCTCTTATGAAATATGCTTTAATAAATTCGTGATTTCTCCTCCAGCACCGTTCTCTCTTCTCCAGAGGCAAAAAAGAGCAAAATAATCTGAGATAGACTCATGCCAAATGTGGATCACAATGCCATGATGCTGAGAGAAGGAGTCAACTAACACCCTGTTGCAAGAGGCTCCATATGTTACTTCTGGAACACTGTGTGGTCTGGGAAAATGGAGCCTCAAGGGCAGTCAGAAAAACTGTGAATGCAGTCTTTTGCTTCTGCATCACTGAGATGACGGATTACGTGGTTTAGCTGAAATTTTGCTGTAAAAACAAACAATGGCTCATCACAATGCACAAGGTGTGCACTACTAACAGTGAACTAAATGTTTTCAGTTAAAATATTCTAGGGAAAAAACTCTACTTTTGGTGTAAGCTTTTGTATGAAGAAAACCAGCCTGAGAGTAAAAAAAGGCAAAGAGGCAAGAAGAGACAAGGAGGAGGTAGAATAGGCTAAAGAAACACAGAAGGATGGATAACCAGGGGATGGTATTCAAATGAACATGCAAAACGGTGCACAATGACCAAATCTGACACATTATCCATTTGCACAGATCTTAAATCTCATATTTGTTTCAACCTTTCTACCTGTACAAAAAAGAATGAAAGTAAACGGAGGTATCAGGAGCTCTCAAAACAAACATGCACAGCCTTGAGAAAAACACTCAGGGCACATTTTTGCAAGTGTTCAAATAGAAAGAACACTGCAATGGAATCTTATGAGTTTCTCTTTCAAGACACCCTGAAACACACCTAGCTGACACTGCTTCCCTCTGAGAAAGGGATGTAAGTTCTGCCTCTACCAGGAATTGGCTCCTTGCACAGCCCAAAACAATAGGAGATGGCAAAATACAGTTTCAGACTTTGACCTAATTGTGATTTCAGTATAAACACAAAGCCACAGATTATTTAATGCTATGAATTAAAAATTCAGCTTTGGAAACCTAATTTCTGTTGAGGAAATGATAGCAAAACATGTTTACAATGGATGTGATTACATATGATCATAGTTTGTATAGCCTCCATTTAGCTGCAAGCAAGAGTTCAAATACAAGGGAATCACAATCTACAGATAAATAAGATAATAAATGTAAATTTTCTTACCAAAGTGGCTTACTGTGGGAAACACTAATGACAAATGCCTCTCCTGTCTGGCCGGAGAGGGTACGTCCACTTTTATCCACAATTGTTCCAGAAACCTAAATATTAATTGAACACAAAGAAAGAAGAAGAATTAAATGCACAACCAAATGAAAAATTAAAATGGCTGAATTGCTATAACTCAAAGTAGAGAGACCTGTGCTCCACTCAAAGTGATGAGGCACAACTCAAACAGAAAAATTAAACTCTTTTCACCCTATGAATACTTAAATTTTTACCTAGAGAGAAGACCAGTCAAAGATTTATCTTTCTCTCTCCCCTCCTCAGGGGGGAAAAATGCAAACAAAAGAAAAAATAAAAAGAGAAAACTACTCTGAACTGCTCAGCTGCCAAGTAGCATGTTATTATTCTATGATAGCCTCTGAACCAATCCATAGGGGCTTTTTGTTTTGGCAGCTATCAGCAGTCATGGTTTCTTCATCTCCCTATTTAAGTTATTTCAAGTCTCAGGATTGCTATTAAGTTGTTTGGTGGTGGTTGGTAGAAAGGTGGGACAGGTGGGACACAAAAACAAGTTACTCCCTCTGCCACAAGGGAACATCAAATGCTGCAACTTGGTAGTGCAAGTGTAAGTTTTAACCTGTATAATCACATTTCTTTAGTAGTATAGAGAAAGAGATGTGCAAATAATAAATAATGTCTTGACCCCAAGTAATAACTATGGAATTAAGGAGACATCTGGATGAGTCAGAAAAGTTTTCTCCGATGTTCTAGTTCTGGCCAGGACAAGGTTAATTCTTGCAGTAGCCAGGAGGAGGCATGGTTAGGACACAGAGGTTATGCCATGTCATTGCCAGCTGTAGACGGGGAGCCTCTCCCACTGAGAAGGGGCTCCTTCAGGTGGGACAGTGGAAGAGTAACACCAGCTCTGAGCTGGAGGGAGCAGTTTGGGACACACCAGTCCCAAGCCAGAGGGAGCGGTCAAGGGTGATGTGGCTGCAGTTGTGTCGACCTCCATGGTGCGCATTTTTGCATGTGAATCACTCACTCTTTTGTACACTGTTGTTATTAATATCATTGCTATTACTTTTTCTCATTTCATTGCTGTTTCCAGTAAATCGTTCTTACTTCAACCCCTGACCTTTGCCTTTTGCGCTTCCAATTCTTTTGCGCTTCCTCTCTTGCCTGCTGCAGGGAAAGAGAGAGGGAAAAAGCAGGGAGCAAGAAAGCAGTGCATGGTTTGGAAAATCTCAGTGAGGGCAGTGATTTGGGGAGTACCATTCGTACACCATAGCACCAGTTCTAAAAGTCTTTTTTCCCGAAGATGGAACGAGTTTAGAAGATTCCATGCAAAAATAAACCCACCATTTACTTCAAAGCATCCTTAAATAGTGATGCCACTCCCTACCTTCAAAGTACTCAGTCAAGGGTAGGTGATGAGTGAGCTGTGCTAGGAGTTGTAACTTCTCAACATAAATGAAAAGGGAGCAAAGAATGATGAAATCAAACTCATGGGCTGCTCTGTTTAGGGCCATGAAGACAAAAAGTCAACTCCATGTAATAAGAAAACCCTTATGCTAACTGACTAAGTACAGATGTTCCAAAGTTGGGAACACAGAAGCTCTGTACAACAACACTTCCAAACCAGTCTTTACTCTTCTAGAAGCTAAACTAAGTAACAAAAGAGACTTCAATTAATGCAATTTCCAAGCTCACTAGCAGTGACAAAAAACATCAGAAACTACAAAGAAATGGAGAAGGCAGAGAACATCATTAGGCTATCATAAAATCCCTGATGTCTGCACTTTGAATACTGTATTCTATTGTCATTCTATTCTGACTTGAGGAAGTGGAAAACAAAGAGAGACAATAATGAATGAACCAAATGGAATAGCTAAATAGACAAGGAGTCCTCAGGCTGAAAAAAGATGCCTAAGGGAGGTTCTCACAAAGGACTAAAAATGCCATGACTAAGCAGCAAAGGGAACATAGAACAGCTGCTCATTATCATTTCAAGAGACAAATAGAAAGACACAATAGAAGTTATCAGGTGCACTGCCCAAAAGTAAGCAAACTTTCAAACAAGCACTTTCATAAACTGCAAAAGTTACTGACAGATAATTTTGTAGATGCCTGGGCTCCAATAGGTTTGAACCTAGATGCAAGGAAGAAGTACATTCAACAAAAGCCTATAAAGAGATACAGACTGCAAATCAGAAAGCCTGGAGTGCAAATTGTAGAAAAATGGAATAATATATCAGAAGTTTCAAAACAAGTTTATTCATTTTCTGTATTTCTTCCAATACATTCATGACTGGCAACTATCAGAAAAAAACACATCAGAGAAGGAATATGAAGTAAGACAGACTTTTCTGACTTCAAACAGCCACTCATTCTACTTGAAAAGAATTTTCAGAATTTGCTTAATTTCATCCACTGGTTCCTACTCAAAACAGCAAGTCTGAAAAAAAAATCATCATTAGACCTTTTCCAGTAGAAATACACAGAATAAATACACACTGGAATAAAGTAATTCCTTCATGTCAGGCTTGATCAGTTGAACAGAGCTATCCAAGGCTGATTTTACAAAGCTGTAAGTTTATACTTTCACAATCATGTGAAAAAAGTACATTTCCAGTACACTCCTTTCATTTCAAAGCACTTTAATCAACTGCTATCTCAGCTAGTTCACAAATGAAGCTTAAGTATATGTAAAATACTGAAATATACTTACAAATATGGGTCGGGGAGCATACTCTTCCTCAAACAACATCTGGAGTGCAAAAAGAGCTGCCTACAGAAGAATACATTGCAAAACATTAATGATGTTTTGAGAATTCTTCAGTTTGTTAATTTTGTTTCTGTGGGTTTGATGCCCTTATTTATTTATTTACTTATTTGATGGCTGTTTATGCAACTTGCTCATGTGGCCTCCCTACTACAATCAAGAAGTTTTAATTTTACTCCCCAATATTGTCCAGATGTTCCAAAACACATTTTGGTAACCAGCAGAAAGGAAGTATCACAGGGTAACCAAGCAAGACCAAGACTACTCTGAAACCCAAATCCCATCAGCAAGTACTTCTCCCTCATTACTGCAGCACAACCCACATCCCAAACGTGGTAGTATGTACTCTTCTCAGTATACACTCACTGCCCTTGAGGCTGTTTAGACATGTAGTTTCCAACCATCACAAATTCTTACAGAAAGAACTGTAAGTGACCCCTTTGAAGGTCCTGAAAATGTCCTCCCCTCCTTGGGGTTAAGACAGCTGCCTGTGATCACGCCCTTAGCATTATGTCAAGCCTACAGGCTCCTGGCCAAACCTCCATGATGGTCAAATCAGCAAAGGGCGAGTCATGCTGCTGCACAGGTTATTCAGCCTATGGCAAAAGCCTAAAGAAACGCTGTGTGCATATCCAGCCAGACTTTTCCACATAAAATTGCAAGTTTTAAGTACCCTAACAACTCCATCACCTGCACTCAGTAGTTACTAGACAAAGAAGGAAATGTTAAAACGCCAGTATTTGTGGCATATTTCAACATTTTATTCCTTCTATTTTACCCTTCCAATCTTCTATTTCAAATTGCTCTTTCTTAAAAATGATTAGTAGAGGTCTCCCCCAAAAAACACCTTTTAATAGAAGTGTCTTACAAGCCTTCCTACTCCCAAAACCAGATTCACCAGATATTTCCTCTCCAGTGTGCATCACAAGCATCCTTTGGACAGACATGCTTACATTGAAAAATACAAATATCAAAAGCATTTGGAGATGTTGAGCAATACCGTACAGCTTCTAAGAATAAGAGGACAGCTAGCACATACAACAAATGGCACATATTAAGAGGCATAGAAAACATTCTGGAAAAGGCTAATTAAAATCCATCTCCTCACATTTTACCCACTTGCTATCAACTGAAGAGTCTTCTCATATATTCAGTAAACAGTAGCTCATAGCTCTTAAAGAATACTATGTTGAGTTTCTTTAGGTAGTTTATTTGCACCACATATTTGCTTTAGTGAGGTGGGTTTTATTCCTTAAGTCTCACCTTAGCATTGGCAGTATCAAATATGGTTTCCACCAGCAAGATGTCAACTCCTCCATCCAAAAGTCCTTTGGCTTGCTCCGTATAGGCTTCAACTAGTTCATCGAAAGCTGTAAAACAGAAATTATGTTAATGTCATCTGGAGATATGTCTTTCAAGACTACTGCCTAAGTCAAATAACTTGATGGTTACAAATACTTACTTATGTTCCTGTAATCTGGTCTCTCCACAGATGGTGACACAGAGAGTGTCCTGTTTGTTGGACCCATGGCTCCAGCAACGTATCTCCTAATTCCTACACCATGACACAGGAGTGGAAAAAACATCTACACTGTTTAGCTCTGGCTTTACAGTGACAGCCTATGTAAAATACCTCCAAGGACACCAAGACATGCATATCACTCAGGGATGAAGAACTATGAAACAGGAAACTCTTGTCTCAAATCTAGAGTTTAGGCAGCACAAAATTCCCCAGCACAACCAACTTTTTAATTTTAATCCAACAGGATGTTCCGTGTATACACACAAGACAGAACATTTCTGAAAAGCACATCTCAATTAATTTTTCCTCTAAGAATCATTTGTCACTCACACAGGAAATTTCCTTCAATTACTCTAATTGCACAGCATAGAACTGTCCAGGCATTTTTCACTACATAACCTTATTTAAATATGTGCCATGAAGTCCCCACTTTTTAAAAGTATATTTCAAATCTTCCATTTTCACTGCATACTATGAATCACATTAGTAAGGTGCTATCTGAACAGCAGCGACACTGTTAGCTTGAAATAGAGTTTTGATTGTAGAATACAGAAGCAGAAATTATAGTCTTTGAAAGACAGCATTGCCTACAGCAGTGTAAAGGAGCTCAAACCCCCTCACATAATGCCTGTTAGGCATCTGTAAAAATGAAATGAAAATTTACAGATGGTAGTCACATACTAAGATGATCCATTAATTGCTGAATAAAGTTAAACCACTAGACAAACACTAGGATTAACTGGGAACCCACATTTACCTACAATCAGCTATCCTAGCTCTGGAATACAAAGACTAGTGCTGTACAAGTCTAAGCAACTTTTAACAGTCCCTGCTGAATTTATTTTCTCTAAAATGCATCTGAAGATGTGTATCACCTGCACTCTAAATCAGGTGGACACAGGACAGCTATCCTGAAGAACACCTTAAGGACCAGATCCTTCAAACATGAGGAAATTAGTCTGATATGAATAGAGATATGAAATTGCTGCTACTGTGCCTAACTTGCAAACATGCAGTCTCATCTTATGACCCCATAATGTAAACCATCAAGCTATCCTCTAGTTAGCAATATTTCAAAGAATGCAGCATTGTCAAAACCACAAAGAAGTAAAAAGTTAAAGTAATATTACTTGCCTGTCTGAGCAGTTACAGCGTCCGCTGCTTTTCTGGCCACCTGTGCAGAGACTCTGTTTAACCGATATGCCTGGAACAATTACAGAAAATCACTGAGCAAACTTTAGCTCAGTCTAGCATAACTAATCCTCAAAGAAAACCTCCATCCAGTAGCTCACTGTACACTCTGAAGGGTCGTCAAGTCACACAAATGTGTATCAGCACTATCACAATGCCTCAAAAGGAACAGCTCAGTATATCAGCAATAGAATTACATGGCAGGTCCATCCTGTGTGTGCCGCCGGACTACCAATGCTCATCATAAAATTTCATTCTGTAAGGTAGTAAATAAATCGCGCTGAAGTCAACATAAGCTGAAGAACAGAAACTTTGAAGACAAAAATAACCTAATAAAGTCCACTTTCCATTCAAGTAGCATATTTCCAAGCATTTTCTTTCAACTATTTCCTCAAATTCTCAAAACAATATGTAACAAAGAACAAGTATGACAGATGCACACTGGAAAGGACTTCTACATACACCAGCATAAACGATACATAAGTAACATCCAGGGAAAAAGCACTCCCCTTGAGTTATTTGGTAAGTTGGAAGGACTGAAGYAAAACATCCCTGTTCACAGAACTGAGAACTCCTGTGAATGCTCAAATAAAATCTAGGACTAATTATTATTGCTTGTACAATAATACAATGTGCTGCGACACAGCAAATACAACAGTGCACAAGCAGCAGAAATGAGCTACAATCCCACCACATGGCTCAAGAGGCAGCATGCAGCCAATAAGCATGATAGCAATGAATGTTGGGACTAAGCTAATTTTGGCTCCTAGAACATGTTTAATATTTTAACATGTTAACAGTTTAGAATTCTTACCAAATGCCCAAAGCCGTAGTCAGCCTGTGCAACTCGGGTGCTGCTGAAAGTGTTGGTTTCAATGATGTCAGCGCCTGACAGCAAGTATTCCTGCAAGACATGAAACAAAAAAGGCCAGAAGCATGGAATGCAAATAATCCTACTATTTTGTCTCATCCATGTGACAAAAAGTCACAATACATTTCCCAATTCAAAGCTTATCAAACTCTAAAGGCCTTAATCAAAAGCACAGGGCCAAAGTAATAGAAGTGATCCATGTAACCAATTTTCAGAATTTCAGTGTCAGCGGCACTTTCTATTAACAAGTGACACTTACAGTCTCCTCTGCCACTAAGTCCAGCACCTGGATTAAATTCTAGATTTCTGCACAGGGACATGGTGACAGACAGCCCAACTGCTGTGGGCAGTCTCAGAGAAGGCTCCAATTAAAGAAAAACAGAAAAGATTAGAAAATTTAAATATTCTGAAGGGATTTGTACAGCACAAGAGCATACCAGGACAGAACACAAGCTTAGGAGAATTACATTTTGTGCAGAGCTTATTTAAAGTTTAACTAATGATTGAGACTGACAAAACATTTAAGCCTTCTGCTCCATTTTGGTTGTCTAAAAACCACTGAGGTCAAGTGAAATCTATGCAACCTAAAATACTTTTGGAGATTCCAGCCTGCAATTGTATAACATCTATCAGTTGCCCTTCCCCCTTCCTAGCTCGTCTTTTTGATCTCTTTGAACCCTTATGTTATCCCTGAATATTCAAAGAAATTAAAACACTCTATGCTAGTAAGTCAAAAATACTGATTGAACATAAACCACCCAGATTCTCCTACAAGAAACAGATGAACTCAGAGAGTTTAACAGTGCAAATAAAGTCTTGATCCAAGTGACAGCTGAAAATAAATTTATTTTAAAACACATTTTGCTGCAAACAAATATGCTTTCTCTCAACTCCTCTTGAAAATATATGAAAACATCTACATATAGATATATGAAAATTACACATTCTTGTATGTCCACCAATAACAAAGTAATTTTCTAAAAATCATCTAGACATGTTACATGTGTAAAAGCCCTTCAACTTTACTGCCTACCACCACAGAAGGAAATAAAATACTCAAAGCAGAAATGTAATTGTTGTCTTTGAAAATACATCACATCTCTTACCTTTGAATCTGACTTTGCCAGACAAGGTGCTGCTAACATTTACTTTTTAAGCTACTGATATCTGTGAGATCTCATTGGATCATTAATAAAAAACCAAAAACAAAACAAAAAACACCCACCATACAGATAGTGGGATTATAGTTACTTTGTAGAAATATTTTCATCGATTATTGCAAGTTCCTTCTGTACACTTCCCAGAAGAAATAACCACTGCCAGCTGTAAAATATTAAGTCACCACCCATTGCTCAGAAAGCCCCTTACCCAATAGTTACTGCAGGGATGGGGACCACAAAAGATAGTTCTTTTTTTACACTGTTCCTAAAGCACCTATAACTGACCATTAGAGAGATAACAGCAGGTTACTTGGTTTGAGTCAATACATACATTCAAGTCACACCAGTGTTGCTCTGCTAAAATTGCCAAATTCAACTGTTAAAGCAGCTTACCCTATTAGAACCACAAACTTTTATAAATCCCGAGGTTCATGAGCACTACAGCTCAGTTGATATTGCAGAGACTGAACATAATCTACAAATGCTTCCTTCTGAAATTTTTATAGGTCAAAGACTGACCCTTGCCAGCTTACTATTATTGAAATCCAAAGAATAGCTGTTAGAACATAAAAAATAGAGATTACCTTCCATATTTAACAAACATAAACCAAATATGATTCTCATCAATGAAATACAGATCTTATCAATAACTGGAAAAAACCATAACAGATGTTAGGTTTCAACTGAATAACAAATAGCTGCAATGCTTTTCAAGCATTACAATTATTACAGTAAGACCTCTGAATACCTGTAATTCAATAAATACAAGACTTAGGGAGTTGCTTTTTAAAGTCTAATTAAAAAGAGGAAAACAATGAAATCTGTTTGCAAATTCCTAATCATCAGCAGATTTGACTGTTTTATTCTCTGAGCTACACACTAATATGACTAGGGAAAAAACAAGACTATGGAAGCACATTATACTCATTAGGAAGCTCATATACTCATTAACTACAGAGAGGCCTGCTTCAGGCTGCCATATTTTACAGCCCTTTAATATGCAGTTATGGAAATACATCTAGAATTCAGGTATGTCCTACCTAAATGCATTTCAACTGCTAGCTGAGAAGAAGAAGAGGAAATAAAAATGAATTAAAACAGTGTTGTGGGTTAAGGTTTCTCCTTTTGTTTCATTTCTTGGGGAATTTTTCATTTCCATTTTGTTACTGGGACACACTGATTGCCAGGTCATCCTTTTCACGGCTAGGCGATTGGTAAAGACAATAGAACCGACGCTCCACCCAAAGGATCTCCCTGAGCACTCCTGCTGCCTGGCAGTTTTTGGGTTTTTTTTTTTTACCCCTCTCTTTGGAGAGAGGGAAGTTCTTGCGGGAGTTTTGGGCTCAGGGAGGGGGTGCGTGTGTGGGGAGCGCGGGGTAGCTTCACTTCCTGCCCTGCTTGGCTCGGGGAAGGAGGTGGACCTGCTACCTGCGGGGGGAGAACTCGCCTGCTGCTGCAGAGCCCAGCATCTCCGCTCATTGGTTCCTCTTTGCCCCTGTGGCATTGGATCTTCTGCCCCTGTGCCTTGCCAGGGACCCCTGAGATTCCAGCTGCAGTAGTCAAGTTCTGCTGCATCTTGTCTTGCAGCCGCGGGATTCTGCTTGTTTCTTTGCTCATCTGACTGTTCTGGGGTTTACTGCTCCCCAGAGAACCAAGATTGGCGTTTTCCGCTGTGAGTTTGCAGAGGAACTTTTCTCCATCCATCTCTGCCAGTTTGTGTCTGCCATTGGCCACGGGGGAGATCTGAACCTAGCCGGGACCCGCGCCACAGCGCCCCCTGCAGCTGCCACGGAATCTCTGCACCCACCCTGTCCAGCTGGGAGCCAACAGCACCCCTGCTGACTGGGACCACAACTGCCCCAAAGGGGAGGGTGCGTCTCTGTGAGGCTGTCACTAGGTTTGTGGCTGGGTTGCTATTGTTGTTATCGTTGTTACTTGTTTCACCTTGTTATACATATTAGTAAAAACTGTTATTCCCTTTTACCCATATTCTTGCCTGAAAGCCCGTGATTTTCAAAGCTATAATAATTTGGAGGGACTAACACTCCAAGGGGGGTCCCTGCCTTCATTGGCAAGCACCTGTCTTTCAAACCAAGAGAAACAGAATCTGCAATTAATAGATATACATCAAGGACATAAGTCAAAAACGGATTTAAAAATATTACTGCCTGTGTGACATCAGGAACCAAGACACAAATGCTGTGCTCACACAATCACAACAGTCAAATCTGCTCATCTTTTTCACGTGGTTACCTAGCAGTCTGTTCCCTATCCCCAAAAGATGCTGGAGAGCCAGGAGCCTGTGGTTTGTAAAAGAGGAGTGCAGAGGACAGGCTCTCCCTCCTTGTAAAGAGACAGAAACCAGAACTACCTACCTTGTGTATGTCACAGATTATATCAGGCTGAGTTATACTGAGAAGGTCATTATTGCCTTTCAAAGGCCTGGAATGATCTTTAAATTCATGCCCTCGGAAATCCTCTTCTGTCAGGGCATGTTGTTGGATCATGGTTCCCATGCCCCCATCCAAAACCATTATCCGCTCCTGAAGAATGGATTCAATTTCATCTTCCATACTTTTCTGGGGATCTGCTGTAAGAAGGTAAATGCAATACTTAAGTATTTCTGAAATTCCCTGTCTATACACCTGGGCATTCTGAGCTCCTCCTATTCAAGAAACAGAATAAACTAACTAATCCTCTGCTGAAACCAGACTGTAATTGATTTACTTCACCTATAGTTCCAATCACCTGATGTCAGGTAACAGCATCTACCGAAATACAATTAGGCTCAATTGGTCCTTTACCTAAGGACTGTCACCTGCACACAGTCAGCCACAGAAAAAATTAACAGAAGTTCACAAGGGCATACGTGAAAGTCTCTATATAAACTAGTCGCCAGAACTGTAAAGTATGATAATTTCCATCACTACAACATTTGAAAAGCAATGCAGAGCTGCCTCTTAGTACCAGATCCCATACTGTGATACTCAGGTACAAAACAGAAATTAGTAAACTTCATTACAAAAACCAATACCCCCGCCTACTTTAATTGCCTATATTTTAATGATAGAAACAGAGAAACGAAATGAATAAACAAAAGCAATTCTTCAGCTGAGTCCTAAATTCATTTAGGATTATGCTAGTAAATAACAATTTGTCAAATGCCAAGATTTGACAACAGATAAGAGCCAGGCTTTACTTTCTTTTGCACACACATAGCAAGATACTCTTTCTATATAATGCAACTTTTGTTTTGGCATCAGTACTGTTTTTAACCGTGTTGGAGAGAAGCTGAGGTCAAGAGGAAAGCACTGAAAGGCTGCATTTATACCAACACTCTGGAATAACATCTCCAAATCAGAAGTAGTCTCAGCATGAAGAGAAGCCAAAGAAAATCTGCTCTCTAACAAGCATGAAGCATTTAAAGGCAGATTAAAATCCTAAAAAGTAAGCCACCCTCACTTCAAGCTGAAAGTTTTAACAGCACACAGGCAGGCTCAGCAAGTTCTTACACAAGAGCTTAAATCTACTCACGTTAAACCATCAAATTATTCATGAAAATAAAATCAATCCTTGAGCTAAAGGCTCTTAGAAGCAAGACACGAAAAGCTGTATCTGGAGGTAGGTCTGCAGTGCAGACTGCCGTGAAGCGTAACTTATGTGCTTTGCAGGAGCTATAGCCCAATGAGACACATGGACATTAGAGCTCACTGGTGCTTTAATGAGCCTCCTAAGCCAACTCCTCGGCCCGGACAGCTGCAGCCCAGACAGCGGAGATGGATTATCCAAGTTCTCCCAGAACCAGTCCTGCTTTCTATAAGCTTCTATCCCTTTAACCTAYGTGCTTCCCAACTATCTTCTCATACACGCTGGGAAGCAAAGATTTTTTTTCTTTTTAACTTTGGTTGTAATCCGACACCTCACCTGGTCCATTTCGCTTTCTCTACTGCATGCCTTACGGAACAGAAACCACTTCCGTGTATGGTTTTCTGCTCATAGGAGCACAGATCTCTACCTCATCGCTCCAAGAGCCTTATTCTGAAGTTTTCAAAATTTGTGCTTCTTCAGCAGCATCTCAAAAAGCCACAGGAAATAGGGGGGGACTCATGGAGGTGGCCATCAGTGCCAGAGATATGTAGACTCTCTTTTACACACGGGTGACAAAGCTCCAAGCCCACCAAAACCCAATTTACTTGTCCTTGCTATGGATAACACCTGACTCTTCTTTCAACAGGAGAATGCACTACTTGAAGTCATGCTGTGGCACACTGACAGTGCAGTTTCAAGCTGAAAACAAAGTCTGCAGACTGTCCAAAAATACTTCAGAAGTCAAAGATGATTGATTCACAAACCCATGCTAGGAAGTGCTGAACTCTGCCCTTGGAACAAAAGCAGGGAGGAAGCTAGATGTCAGTTCTACTAACAAGTACCATCATCTTAATTCAGCATTCAACTCACATAATTCTCCTCTGCAGCACAAACAGGGTGCAAGAGTTTGTTACAGAAATTCCTATGCATGGAAAGATCAGGTCATCCTTTTTTTGTTGTTTTCATTAATGAATGCTGCTCCTACCTCTGCTCAGATGGAAGCTGATTAGAAATTCCTTTAATAAAGATCACTGATGAGCTTTGGGAAATGAATATCCTTTTCCATTCAGAAGTGTCCAGGAAAAGAAACTGCTTCTATAGCTGTGACACAAATAGTAGCAAACCAGCAGTGGTAACAGGACCCAGGACCAATTACCTTGATTTTACACTCTACTGAAACTTAAAATATAAAGCACATTACCACAGGGTGTTGTAAAGCTGGAACTAGTTTAGGAGACCATCTCAAATAAACAAAAATAACAGCATGGGCTGAAAAGTCAGTGGGATACAGAATGCAAAATAAATAATCCTAATACCATGATCACTTCCCCAAGGTAAACACTCTGTCCTGAAATACTTGTCTGTGACAAAAAAAATTATCTGAGTTACCGAAACTTTTACTACTTGTAGAGTACCTGCTCACCACAATCATTCACTAGCAATTATAACTTTCACCCAACCGTAACCTTCCATTTTTCATGATAGAAGCAGTCAGGGAAAAAGGCAAGACAATGTTCCTTCATCTCCTTATCCCAACCCAAACACTACAGGTTATATGTGCAGAGTTGAAGGGATGTGTGTTCTTCACCAAAAGAAAGGACTTCAAAGGTTGCAATTTGCTTTAAACCAAGTTTTTCTGATGCCTGCAGTGATTCTCAAAAGGTATTGTTTTTATTATTTATGCACTTCCATTACAAATTTATTTTCAGTATAAAATAGCCTTGTATACAAGTACTTGGAAGGGAATAAAGCATTACAAGTTGCTTCCAAAGCTTTTATAAAGGAGCAATCCAGTTGTGACAGTATTAAAGTATTTTCAACACATTAATGCACCAGAACACAAGCAGAAAAACTATGTGGAAAGAGAGACACTTAACAGTACCTGCTGTTTCCTAGGCTGACCACCTCCTCTCTTACCTAGAAACAGGGCCTCTCCATATTTGCACGCCCAAATTCAACAAACCAGAATTGCGCCGAACCACCTCCAAACACAAGTTTCGCCATCATTCCAAAAATGACTGTGCAGCATGCAGAAATTACAGTACCAGTAGCTAGAAAGGATGCTCTTACTATCAGCCTGCCACAGGCAGCTCATGTTAATCTCATCATTACTTGCTGTTCAATTAATTAAATCGTCTTCAACTGGATGCCTCTGGCAAGAGTTTCATGAAGTGTAGCAACAGATGTTACACAGGTCCTCTCTAACAGTGGGCAGCAGCAGCCTGTTGCAATGTTATTTGTTATCCAGCCTATCCAAAGAGAGAAGTATTGGATCTTATCACTTCACTATGGGTGCCCATTTGCACCTTGCTAATATTTCCAACCTGTCTTATGAACCGTTCAGTTCTTACATAACAGACAAGATACTTACATACTTAAAAGTTAACTTGAAGGCAATCACTACAAAAGTCACTGAATTTTCAGAATAAGTGTCCTGTTAGTTGTACCCACTGTTTCTACTTAAACATGCATGCAAATCCCAGGTTTAGTAAGCTCCCGGTGTTATAACCACAACTGTCCATCTTCTGACATTTAACTGTTCACAGCAGATATTCATTACATGCAGGAATCAGGGAAACAGATCTGCATGGCCTCGATTTGTGGGATGTCCTGCCCCTCAAATGCTAGGGAGAAGCACCGTGCTCAGCTTCCCGATGAACCACTCCTGAACTCAGGTCCTTTGCTTCACTGCCAGATGGACACACCACTACCTACTGCCTCTGCCTGCTCCACTGGAGCTCCACGAACACCCAGAGCACGCAGTTTTTGCTGCCATCTATGCAGAACTTCTCTCCCACCAGAACTTCTCTCACCAGCACTTCTCAAGCTCCTGCTGCTACACCTTCACGTTTCCTATTTCACATTTCCCATTTCAGATGAACCCATCGGTTCTGCACCAGGGCAGTCGCTAGCCCATGGTTTCACCGCAAAGAGCCCCGGGGGAAGGGAAGGTCAGAGGCACCTGGAGAAGCCTAAGGCCACAGGCACTGACTATAGAGTCGACGCTGCGCAGGGCTGCAGGCCTGTTCGACATGCCGAAGGATGAAGCCCGAAGGCTCAGCACTACGCATTCCCTCACAAGTATTAAAAAAGGAAGTGCTTGGGATGTCTGCTGGCAACAGCATCACTGAAAGCAGCCACTGAAAACATGTCCATTTTAAAGCACCAAGGCCAACTAGGAGCTGTAATTTTATGTATCCTCCCCATCCAACGATTTCTGTTTATCTCGTGAAAAGGCACTTTTGGCTCAGAGCCCCAAACAGCTGGAGCACACCCAGTCCCTAACACCGAGGTCCAGTTTTTACTTTTCCCGGCATCACTGTGTCGCCGGACGGGGCGGTGCGGGTACCCCGGCGGTCCCTCCCGACCCCTGCCTGGTAACGTGCAGCTGCTCCATGGGGCCGGCGCCAACAAGCGCTACTCACCACACGCGGCTTCTGCAAAAGTTACATGCGGCGCGTAAGTGACGCCTCCGCCTGCACCGAGCTGCAGGCACCACCCGAAGCTGAAGGGAGGGCGCGCCCGCCGCCCCTCGCAGCCCGCCCGGCCACCCCCGCCACGTCCCCCCCGCGCCCCCCGGCCCTCGCGGCCATTACCCGGCGGCTCCGTGGGCGCCATCGCTGCCCAGACGTCACCGCCCCCGGCCGGGGGCCCGCGCGCAGGCCGTGACGCGCGAGCTCCGCCCCGAACGCGGGCAGGAAGCGCGAGCTGCTCATGGCCTGAGGGGGGCGGGAGCGGTCTGTCCCTGGCACAGATGGACAGACAGACGGGCATATGGACAGACGCACAGACCCAGGCTACAGCCTGGTCTTCGAACTGACTCACCTAGCGTTAAATGCCCCGGGCAGGGTGGAGCAAGGCAGGGCTGGACAAAATTGAGGAGCTGTACCTAATCGCGGGGAGAAGCGGGGCGATGCGGGGCGGGGTTGTGGTATAAAGGAATAATTCTTTCAAACKGAAACGAGAAATGTGTTGCAACTGTATTGAGGCAATATGTATTGTTGAGAGAAGGCATGTAAAGTGCACGAACTGGAGTCAGACTTGCCACTGATGTATGGATGCATGTCATGTAAACCTGGAATCAAGATTATCCTAAAGTTATTAAGGCACAGTTTGCTTGACAGTTGAACAAAATGTGACGTATTTTGACACGAGAGTCTCACTTCTGGTGGTACATGCTTTCTACTGCTTATAAGAGGACTCACTTTTAAAAAGAAAGAAATACCTGCAGAGCAGCCCGGCAATCACCATGCTCTGCAGTATATGCTGCCAAGAGTTGGAGTAGCTGAAAGGAATTACTGCTTCTCTCATTTCGTGTTAGTAACTCAAGTCCCAACAATAAACATTAACATTGTCATTTAAACTTGTTCAGTGGTCACAATATGAAAAGAAGGAAGCCTGTGAAATGGATTATTGACCAGCCTGTTTTGCCTGCGTATTGCATTTAGTTAAGCAAGCAAAACAAATGCTGCCGGCGAAGATGCAGGGACGGCTGGTTCTGTGTTAACATGGATGAACTGAGGTGGCTTTCCTCCTTCAGGTGTCTGAGCCTCGGTTCTGTGTGGCAACGTAAAGCCTTCAAACAGCCAAGAGTATGGGTTGCTACTTAATAATGGCTTCTGCATTTTCCCGGAAAGTCTTAACGGATTCAAAATTAGTTAAAAGCTGATAGTGTAGGCAATTCCCAGAGGCTAAATATTCACTTTTGAATTTTCTTTTGAGACACAGAAATAGTAGTTAGAAGCTCTTTTGAATCCGTTGTGATCTAGGAGCTTTTATAATCAACTGTCACTTTGGTCAATGGTGATTCAAATATATATTTATAAAAATTGCCTTAACATGTATGTCTAATGCATTTTCAGAAAGAATACAGGCAGCCCACAAATCAACTAGATGGTAGTCCAACTACAGTTGTACAGGCCATGCCCCAGTTTTGAATGTCAGGAGACAATGTTGGAGAGCTTGCCTCCTTGTCAGGAAATTATTGCAGTGGTCAGTCTGAGCTCCCACTGCAAAAATGTGTGCCAGAATTGCAGTGTAAGATGTGATGGCTGAGAAATCCACACTATAAAAACCTAACAGAACTGGAACACACAAAACAGAAGCAGAAGTTAGGTACTCCTAGAGAGTGCTTAATTTGATTTCTATTACACACAATATATTACAGAGATGGGCATTGCTTTGAGAGCTGTTCATTATGAGGTTTTAGGGGGTGTATTTCCTTGCTTGACTATCGGATAGCTCCCAACCTTTATGTCATGTCACATAACAGTATGAAAATTTCCTCTGACAGCAGTGCAGTTTAAAAAGCTCACTGTCTACACAGTTGCTTTGGGGCAACAGATCTTTGTACCACAGCTCAGCACATCCTTGCGTGTGCTGAGCAGCTGTTTGTGTAACTGCTGCAAAGTAGGTCAGTGGGGCAAAAAAAAAAAAAAGCTGCAAATTTGAAGGTACTTCTGAAAAAGATCATTTCACATATCCCATTTCCTTTGCAGTTTTGCAACCAGATCAAGGCAGTTTGACTGTGTGATGCTGTGAAAGGTCAGTCCCAAATGCCACCCTGTGCCATCCTCCTATTTCCATCCTTTTTATACGTGTGCTAGCCCTCAAACACTGTTCTGTAAACTTCAGTTTTCAGTGGAAACGGATCTCTGATTCAATTCATCTGCAGCAGAATGGTCTCCAGAGCTGATGTAGGAGCAGCAGAAGGAAGTGAGGGCAGCAACCCTCAGCCTCAGTCTGTGTTTAACCTGCTTRAGAAACTGGAACTATACAGACAACTGAATGAGTACATCTGAAGCAAGATACGCTTCAGACAGTTAAGGGAAGAGAAATGAGTCGTAAAGGTAGCATTCATCCAACAAAGAAGCAACAACACAAAACTTCAGCCTTAATCTGTTTTGCAATATTAGAGGATTTCAGGTCCCTTTTTTCTGTTTAGTTTCAATACTGACAGTAATGCACAGTGCTGGGAGTCCCGGTGCATATCCCTATCCTGAGGCTGACACACACCTGCAATTCCCAAAATTTTTGAGCTTTTTCCTTGAGACACTCTAACATATGGTATGTTTGGAGGGATCATTCAAGGATTTGCAGTGAACATGCCCTTAAGCTTGAAAAGTGCTTTTTCTTTGTCTTATGGAGTGTTGTTCTTATTTCTCTAAATTAGGCTGTCAAAATACTGTTCCCTTTAATACATTTAGAACAGTACCAGCAGCACCTTAGAATTGCAGAGCAATGGAGTAAAGCAGGGGAGAATGCAAAGGTATCTCCACACATCATTCCCATGTGTGAAAAACCTGACCTTAGCACTGTAGGGAATTAGTCCTGTTTAAACATCAGGTGCAGACACGGTGTCACTCATGCAAGCATCATCACAGTGAGAATCCTGGTTTCTGAAGGTGGTTATAAGTGGTGGTTTAGTGAAGCTAGCATCTCCCTTATTGCAACAAGACTAAGTTCAAATTAATATCCTCAGCAAAAGAAATTTAAAAAAATTAAATCAGATCAAGTTCTGGTATTCCAAGTACATTTGAAAGTATTTTCAATACATTGTTTTCCCAGCTCCTCCCACACACACAGCTAAACTCTCACAGATCTTTTAAAAACAGGCAGTGCTGAAGCAAACAAACCTATCTTCATATTTTGATTATTTTTCTAGTGCCACTGATCTGTTCACCAGTTTGTTTCTCTACTTGCACACCCATGCATTCAAATACCATACTCACCTTACATGTAAGATCAAACACAGGGGTTTAGCCCACTCTTTCAGCTTTTGGGGTTGTGTTTTAAATACCTCCACAATATTAATTACAAAACCACACCTCTCATTCCCATGTTATCTGCCGTTATTCCTGAGGATGCAGTTCACAATGGGTTCTTCACATATGTAATCATTTAAACAAGAACAGTGGGATTATTCATGTTACTATAGAACAGTTGTATTTCAGAGAATTATATCAGAGTGAAGCATTCACAAGTCCATGAAGAAGCCTGAAGGAGAAAACATTATTTTGATTTCAGAGCACAGTTCTTGGTACTCTGTTCTGTGAAGTGAACACTTGTGCTGTTTTGGTGCAGTTGGGTTCTTGCCCTCTTTTGGATGGCTAAGTTACACTTCTTGTTTTTTTTATTTTTAGAATTTCTTCTGAGCTTAAGAATTACTATTTCTTTTTAATAGTTTTGTTGACCCACAGCTTAGGGGGTGATTTTTTTTTTGTGATCCAAATGCAAATGGATGCTCTAAATAAGTAAAATTATGATCTTAATATTTTTCTTCTATGATCAAAATATTACCTGAAGTAAAAAAAAAGCTGCGTGCTTCAAGATCAATTCTAAGCACTCTCCAAATCTCAGAGTAGTCTATTAAAGATGTGCAGTTCATGGAAATACCAACAAATTTATTCTACTTATTTACGTAGATTTTGGACTTCACTATTTAAAAAAAAGCCCGAAGTCTCCAGTACACTGAAATCAAACACAATAAAGTGGACAGAATATAACCTTTTGCATCACTTTAGAGAATCTTTGTTGATGAGAGAGTGTATAAGTACCTGGAAGGACTGAAATTCAGGCATGAGAGGACTGGGAATTCTGTTGTAGCCTTGCAGCTTACTCATACTGCTGGCAAACTGTGTCAACTGCTTTCAACTAGTTACAGGTTTGTGCCTGTAAATATTTTGTATTATTTCATTCTGTAATTTTGCAACATTTTTAGATCTTTCAGTATGCACCTTGCAGGCATCCACATCAAAATCATAGAAGAGAGGCTGATATCAGTCGATAGACAAGCTCAGAGATACAGACTCCAGCAGCTGAAGGTGACTGTCACAGCACCGGCCCTAGGCATGCCTTTGCTGCCTATGCAGTATAAATGGGATTACACCTTTCCTGACAAGCACATCAGTTTGTGATTGACACAGCTTGAGATCTATGAAAATGTTTCGAACTAGGAGGATTGYAGAAAGGTTTGAACAGCTTTGGATGGTGGTCAATGAGATGGTAAAGCCAAGTAGCACATTCTGGTAGTGCAAACAAGGTGCAACAGGGCACAGAAAAGGGATGTGCACAGGTCATGGGATGTGTGAGTGGCACTGGAGAGCTTCCAGCAGTGCATCCGGCTGTTAGGCATGACTCCATCCCAGGGAGAGAGCAGCCTCAATTCTATCATATTTTTCATTTAACAGTAAACCTTGTAAGATTTTATTGCAAAGGCAGAGGGAATCTCTGTGTAAAATACCTTGAAAGACCAGAGTCCTACTTGGCTTACTCTAACTTATGCATAGAAACAGCCCAGTATGTTGTCAACCATCTCTAAAAAAACGTCTTTTATACGCAGTTCTGTTCTCTTTGAAGGTGTGTTGGTTTTGCTTGGCCCAGTTTTTGTAAGTGGGGGGCCAAAAAGATGGCTCCTGTGAGAAGCTTCTGGAGGCTTCCACCATGTCCAGCAGAGCTAATTGCTGTTGGCTCTGAGGATGATGGACATGCCACTGACCAAACCTGGGACAACTGGAGATGGTGGTTACGTCTCTGTGAAAACATATTTAAGAAGAAATCAAAACAAAGAGGGACACAGTAGTTTTGCCAGTGGAGGAGGCTCAGAAATATGTGAGAGAATGCAGACACCAAGGTCAGTGGAGGACGGGGAGGAGCTGCTCCAGGCTCCGGAGCTGGGATTC